CCATCTGCAATCTGGAGTTCCCTAAACGCTTGCCTTTCAGCAGTGACCTATTTGGTCTAGTATTTCTTATTTCTTCTGCTCCAAGTTTCAGTACAGTAATTTGCCCAGTTTTTAGAACAAAGACTTTCCTTATTTTAAATGTATTTTATAATATATTTTGCAACTCATGGTAGTATAATCAAAGAGCACAAAAAACAAACAAAAAAAAACACAAACCACTATACCACCACATCTGAAACAGACCAAATGCGTGTCACTGTACATTTCTGCAAGAAATCTGCTTGCTTTTAAGACTGAATGGTGCACTTAATGTTCTTTCAGAGCTCATCAGCTGAAGAAGACAAATGCTGGGATGCACCGCATGATACAGTAAGGACTGCTCTACCTATACCCACAAAGTGACACACTAAGACAACTTCTATACCCTCACTGTAGTGTTTCTGTTTGGCATGCACCACTATGCATTAACAAATTATTACTCAAACCCACTAAACAGCAGCTCTGCTGCTGAGAAACCTGAACTTTGGCAGCAAAAATCTCAACAGGCAGCAAGAGCATTCCACTCATATTCTATTGCTTGTAGAACTACAACAAACACTGAATTTCTTGCCTTATTCCATCTTGTGCAGTCTAAACAGGATCCTCAAACTACAGGAGCCACTGAACGGATTTTAAAAGGCACGTGCATGATGACAGCTGCCTCTGGTTCCTTCACATGGGGAGATGACAATGAAGGTGCCCACAGCAAAGGTATGTTTGAAAAACAGTTTAGTAGCAGCAGTTCTCATACAACAGAGGGATTTCTCTATCCAACTGTCTCATATGGATCAACTGTGAGCTCTATTCAACCCAGAGAGACAAGACAAAACCCAGTAATGTTTCTAGTCTTGCTTCTTAAAAAAATATAGTTTTTAAAAAATAGAAATTCTTTCTTATCTGCTCTGTTCTGATACAGCAGAGACCTCTGTATTACAAGTGTCTAAAGAGCAGCATCTTTTACCACTCAAGTTAAGTAAAGCAGCTTAGTTCGTACTCACAGATCCTATATTCCCTCTTATTTTATACAGAAATTCTCCTCCTCTTCCCCTCCAGAAGTTACTATAATTATTCTATCAAAATACAGAGCATATGGGATGCTTTCCTCCAAGCAATGGAACAGAGCTCCATAAAAGCAATGAGCATTACCAGTTTATTAGAGGTGTTTCCCTTCCCCACCATCTAGTGAGAACGGCTGCAAAATTCTATTGAAGTCATACTGTGCGTGGGTACAAAACAGCTATGAAAGGATTTGCCTGCATTACATAGGGTTTATTGTTAATTAGCTCTTGTACACACACACGTTTTTTTTTTGCTTAGGAAGTGATGATTTGTTTAGAGAACGTCCTTTGTTGATACAAAGCTAGCATTAGGATTGCAATTTGAGTTAACATCTACACTTCATGTTATGTAACCATTTGACAAAGGTGGTCCTGGCTAATTAAGTTTCTGTTAGTTAAAAACAAAACGTGAAGTTATCTTGGGACATGAATCAATAGAGACATCAGCTTACATAGACCAGGGTCATTAAGGTGCTAGTTCGTTCCCATCATAACCACCACATGCTTCCCATTATGCCTTCAGATTTACAACCTCACACACAACAGAAAAAAAAAAAAAAAAGTTTACTCCTGCTTTAATAGTCTCTTCCTAGCTTTAAGTTCTATGAATTACTGAAGGATAAACATATTTGGAATTCATACTTTAAGTCAGAAACACTGTCCACAGCCCAGCTTAAACAACCAAGTTAGACAATTTTCTGGATATGGGGTGCACAGAAGAACCAACCTTATGTGAGCAACTACAGTCATTTTCTTAATGGATGGTAGAGCACTAACAGTTTTTCAGTCTTCCTTTTAGACAATGGTTATCCAGCTCTTTGAGGCAGACTCCTCTTTTTGTTCTCTGCGCTGCACTCACTGTGGCTCATGCTGTATCCAGAGCCTCTAACAACTATGCTATTCCACTCAGAGAAACCATTGAGCGCAACTGGCAGAAGGTATTGAATGGCATGTCAGAATAGTGACGGGTGGGAAAAGAGGAGTGCTAACTCCTCTGGGCACCCTGGGAGATCCCAGCCTCCACCTGCTCCTTTTGCGCCACAAATGTGAGCAAAGGTTTTCTCTACCAAGAGTGTAACAACAGCTGGAATTTGCAACTAACTACAAGCAAACGATGTGCTTGGTTGTCCCGCACTTCCGACCATGTACTGGTTCTCTTATGAAGACTTTTACTTATTCACAGTTTGCATTTTTCCAGGCAGTTAAGAATATGGTAAAAGCCTTTGTGATGAAAAACTTATACCAAAAGTAAATGCGAGTTCTCACAGGAAAAAATAAGAGCATGAGATCTGACAAGTCACCTAACAGTCATCTGAGAAATCTATCACGTTGTGTAGAGGAAACAAGGTCTAACAGCCCTTATAAATCGCACTAACGTGGAAATAGGGAAATAAAAGGGTTTCTTCATCCTGTGAACTGCACTCTACTGTTGTTAAGGGTTAAAAAAGAAAAAGCTATGCAGGAAGACATGGAATAGCAAAAGTAAGGATTTTTTCTACAGCATATAACAGACAAAACATAAGCAGAAAAAATCAAGTTTCACCTGTCATTTGGAAACAGGCCATGTGATGCACATCTGATTAAACTTCATTAAATATGACAGTAAAAATTCCTCTGCTATTCTACCATGCTCTTACAAAAGCCCTCATGTCCAAGGATCATGGCAAAACCAATTTGCAAAGTGCAAAACTGTAAAAGAAAAGTGGAAGAAATTCTAATCAGTGGGACACGGATGAAACTAATGATTAATTTTAAAGTCTGTTAGTCTAGGGAGGTCCCACAACATTTAAAGGGATCCAAAAAACATTCTGTTTAAGTATATCCTTTTATATTCTATATATCCTTTTTTTGATTTACATCCCTTCACTCATAATAAAAGGTATCACTTTTGCCAGTGCAGTTTTGCCTGTTTTCAGCCCAAACACAATGAACCATTTTCACCAAAATTGTGAAATTTTACAGATCTAATAAATACAGAAGTGTGAAAGCCCGAAAACCTCCTTCATTGTTCTGAAAGGGAATAATGCACACATACTAATATTTAGTCACATTTACAGTGCACTAGTTTTCCTAAAATAAATTCAGCAAAGTCAAAACAAATGAAATCCATGAGATCTAAATGCACATTTGAGGGTCCCTCCCTTCTCATACTGAATCAAGCAGGAAACGCTTTGCTTGAGCAGAGCAAAACATTTGCTTTCCTACCTGGACAGCAGATTCAAGACAAAAACCAGAATTTGCACAACATAAAATGCAAAACAAACCCTGTCTGTTAACACATGGCTTCAGCCTAAAACCCTATAGCCAACACTATCTTTAGTTTTGTGGTATCGTGTCCAAGGTCCCAAGGGCCAAGGTAACATTCACTGTGATTAATGGGAGTCTTCCCCTTAACTTCAGCAAATACTTGTGGCACCCAGAGACTTCACTGCTACCTGACCATTTTCAGAACAAAGTTCTGGAGTTGTATCAGAGGAATTAAACAGCGGATAAGCTCTCACTAGTTTGGGGCTAACAAAGGAAGCTAGAGCAAGCAGACCATAACACTAAGTTACAAAAATGTTGTCTTCCTAGTATTAAGCCCTTAATATTCTTTCAAAAGCTGACTGAAATCCAACTGATGAAATACGTGCTGTTTTTAAATTGATTACTAAAGCAAAAATTGTCAGCATGGTCCTCATTCCCTATAGTATGGTACACCCCTTAAACTTACACAATTAATACATTTTCTATATTTGTGCTTTGAGTAAAGTTGACAAGGTGAAGACGTTTAAAACTGATAGCGGGTTTTCAGTAACTCATACTCAATGAGTACATCCGAAAATGAGTCCCCCACAGAAGCATCTCAAACCAGACACCCCAAAACAGAACGATTAAAAAAATATTATAATAAGAAAAAAAAACAAAAACTTCAGTCTTCTTCCATTGCCTAATCATTGGTCTAAGAATTTCGTCAGAACTGATACCCATTTAATTACACAGGTGTACCACCTGATAGCATTTAGATTGTTTTTCAAGCCTAAACATGTTCTCCCTCAACAACTAGAAAACAGGTATCTTCACATTAGGTATGAAACTAGAAAGGAAAAGTAACTTTAAAATCTTTTCTTAAAGAAAATAAAAACAAAATAAAATGCTCAGTGAGATGAAGCTGATTGAAAGGACATATTTCTTATCTAATCCTAACTCATGACAGTAACCCCAAAGCCTGGAAGTCATACTACCCAGTTTGATTTTAAAAATTAACAAACTCAATGGCAATGAGTGGCTTTCAAAAAAATGAATGTGGAATATAAATGCAATGCTTTGGGATTCCTCTTGCATTAATTTGATAATCATTACTGCAAAACAAAATTGCTGCAAGGACAGGTTTTTGTTTTTTTTATATATATAAATATATATATATATATATGAAAACAGAAAATTGAAAAAAAATCAAGACTTACATAAATTGAGGGAGAAATTAAGTTTTACTTAAACATTTATTTTTTCCCCCACAGGAAAGTATGGAAGAAAAAGCTCTGTTAAGTTCTGTCTTTAAAAAAAAATGCCAAACAGAAAAAAAAAAATAAATTAACTTTAACCAGAGGTTTTCACTGTGTTTAACTTCTAGTAAAATTTCATCAAGAAACATGTATTTCTGCTTAAAACTCCAGAATTGAATTGTTTCTGCTTTAACCTTAGGGGAAAAAAAAAAAAAATACATGCTAAGATAAACATGTAAGATATTCAATTGGCTTTCAAATAGAGAAGCAAATTTGGATGTTCAGAGGCATAAGTTACTTAAGAACACATTATATTCATCCCATACTCCTCATTTCTGAACAAACTGGACAGTATAACGTTCCTATGGTAACTAGGGAAGGACCTGGTGTACAAAAATGGAGAAGTGGTGGATGTTACCTAGCATGTTGTGGTAAAGTGGACTGTCGTGTCCATGGATAGTAAATGCAGTCATGACTAGCGGGACCTCTACACCTGCAGGCAATTACAGAACAAAAGACGTCATTTGCCATTCACAAGGACATGCACACGCATGCGCCCTTGTCCACACGTGGAAGATGGAAGACACACAGGGAACGATCACTCAGCAAGTACCTATCCATCAGGCCGATGCAGTCTTCAATACGTGGACCTATGCACCTGCAGCAAATCCAAATTGAGAACAAGGAGAGAAAGAGAAAAAAATATTGTTATTTGCAAATACAAGGAAGCAGGAATCCCCTTTGTGCCACATTCTTAATTATAATTCTCAAGACAGACCCAAGTCACCACTAAATTATAGCTTGTGACAAAAACAAGCTTGTGATGGGAACAATAATAGCAACATAAACAGCATTCCAAGGTTGGACAAATCTTGACTCAAACAATACTTAATGTAGGTTTCACCTGCATACATGGGCGGCCTGACAATAGAGTTGCTTTTTCTGGATGTTTTTTGAATCATCAAACCAGTGATTACTGCACAGAAGCAGTTGATTCGCAACAAGAGACCTCTGGGAGCAAAAAGCAAAATTTTTATTTTTTTTTTCCTTCTTTCTGTAATTGATGCAACTGTTCATTCTGTTCTAAGTTTCCAGCTAGGGCATATATTTTGGAAACTGACTGTACTCATCAAGGAAGCTGAAGATTCACATAAAAAAAAAAATCAACAAAGAACATCAGAGCAAAATGCCGTGTGCTGATTTAGGCACTTCATTCTGCTGTCTGTAGATGCTGCCAGAAGTCCTCCACCTGCAAATTCAGCAGGTGCTCACCAAAGGCAATGGAATTACAGGGAATCACTTCATGCAGCAGCAATGAAGCACAGCCATGGGGAAAAGAGCCTGTGTGCAAAACACAGGTATTCAGGTATTTGTGGACTTTCCATGCTCTCATGAAGAACGGTAATTGAAATGGTGTGCTAGGCCCGCTCTGCATTCACAGAGAAAGCCAATTATACCTTTCACAGAGTAGTTAAGATTATCAAAGACAGATGAAATTAAACCTTCAGGGTCTGAGACAAACTGACACCCTTTAGTGCCGAATGCCCAGCCAGTCCCCCCTTATCCATAGCAAGCATCTAGCCCTCACAATTTTAAGGAAGACAAACCACTAATTTCAACTCTTTAACAAGATCTCAGGACCTTCATCTGTGAGGCTACTGATGTGTCAGATAACCTGTTCCTGTGGAAGACGGGTACTCCCTTCAGTTGAGGCGTTTTGAATTTAAGGCATAATCCCCAATTCTTTTTTAATGTCTCCCGCTTCCAGTTAGGCTTTGATAAAGGGAGATGTCAGAATCTCTAAGAGTTCAAATATGCTCCCGAGAGATCTCCATTCCACTTCACCATCAGTTGCCACTCATCAGCTTTTGCTGCATTTAAATTAAGCTATCACTCTGCCCTTACAACACAAATTCAGCAGATTCAGTTTCACCATCTTCCCCCTCCTAATCTGCCCATCAGGGAGAGCAGAACAATAGTGAACCTTACCTCTTGTTTGTTTAGTTGAATTTTTATTTTTACATAAAAGCTGAGACATGCAAACACACTTTGTATTTCCTCAATAATGTTTTCCTTCAGCAAATGCGTGGGCAAAATGGATTTGTTAAATACCCACGTGGCCAGATAACACATGAAGTGGAAAGGGTAGATTAAAAGACAGGTCAAAAACATAGAACTTTTGACAGGTATTTTTTTTTTTGAAATTTCAGCTGTTCTTGGCTTTACAAGTCTGACTTCACTCTCAGACATGCCCAGCATTCTTTCTTTATGGCATTCTCAGCAATTTTCAGAAAACCAGTTCAGAAATGAAGAAGGCAGAAAAAGTTGTTCAAGATCTTCCATTTCCTAGCATGTCATGAGAAGCTGAGTTCAGACTCTTGCTATAAATAAAAAGAAGGTCCTCTTCAAATTAGAGGTCGGAGAGCCCATTACTAGTTCAGATAACTAGCAGATTCAAAGAGCCTATTGTCTTGAAGTCATTTCACATCTGCACATTTGTTCTCGCAGACTTTTGGAGAATAGGACTTGAATCTAGAAGAGGAGAGGTGTTTGGACCTCGCCAACCAAAGCTGAAATACTATTGATTTTTATTTAAACCTGTAATCATCTTCAGTGGATTTCCCAACCTCAAACAGAAAACTCCGTCCAGGTGCAATTTCTGTTACTCCTAGTCATGGTGAATAGCTACATACTCTATTCTGGCTGTCCTGATTTAAATGCAGTAAATACGATGTGAGTAATGGCAGCAGACGTTTAGTTCTATTAACAAGTTAATTTTCACCATGAAGTCATCAGTTACTTTTCCTCTGGAAATAATTTCCTTGGTTTCAGGCTTTTTGACACATGGAAGTACAAGTGTGACACAATCATGCATCACACTGGTGCTCCACTGACCCCCAGGCTTCCTCCTTCTGCTTGGAGTCTGGATGGAATGTTTATTTTCCAAGTTCTCTCTGTAAAATGAACTGGTTAATTGACATGTTACAATTTATTAACGAGATACTCAGTAACTTACAACAGTCCAATACAGCTTAGAAGAAAGTTACACTTGGAGCTCACCTTACCTTTACAAAACCATTTTCTGAAAGAAAAATAGTTAAAGCCATTTTGAAAATGAGAATAACAATCATTTTTTCCTAAAATAACCCTTTTTATCTCCAACTTTTGTAAATATTCTCATCAGTTTTCCTTAACGTTGAGGTAGGGACTTAGCTTTTCTCAGATTTGGAGTAGCAAAGCCATTTTTAGTCAGGTGAATTCTCAAAAATCCGTGTTATTAAAAACAAACAAAATTGATTATGAGATAATATAAATGGATTAACTCTGGACAGAAGAAAACCTTAGTTATGGCAATGACCTGCTCATCCAACTATTGCTATGGATAAAGCTGGATGAATCAAAACCATGGGCTGATTTAGGTAACAGGGAGTAAGTATATGCTGACAGTGATAGGAAGGAAGTTGAATTGGGGCTGAGGAGAGGGAGAGAATTTTCATCAGCAAAATAGTAACAGCGTCTTAGCTAGAATTTGTTGCCATTGAATTTGCACTATGGTGCCAATTGGAATTTACGATGCCTTTGGGGCAAGATGGTCCTTGTGCCTTCAAATCCCTTCCGGACTGTGCATATGTTGACTGAAGCTCTCATGACTTCTCTAGTTTTGGCTTACGAGGGATAATAAACTCTTGGTGAAGAGTAATACCTTTCCTTCCATAAAACAGAGGAAGAAAATGTCTGATGAGAGGAGGTGTCCAGTGAAATCTCCTGTTTGTGTCTTGCCCAGGGAGGAAGCAGACCGTCAGATGCTATTATATAATTAGTATTTTATTTCTGTGAAAGTGTTCCATTTTGGCTAGCTCAGCAAGGAAAAGTGCCAAATGCTTTCTGACTCTCTTGAATTAAATGGGATAGCTGTCCTATGGGCCTCAGATCTGCTCCAAACTGGCTTCAGAGTAGCTGATGTTTATCATGGGAATGCAAAGCCAAAAAAGCAAAGTTGTTGCATCCAAGGAAGTCACTCCTCGATAGTTTTCTTAGTCAATGTAAGATCATTAACAGGACTGCATAATGACACACCTATTAATGGGAGCAGCCATTATACTTGAATAAAGGAGGAGAATGGTATTACCTAATTCCATGCTCTAGTGAACGATCATCTGCAGGTACTGCTAAAAAACTGCCAAAACGTTCACAGAAAACACAAAGGTGGACAGGTATCTTTTCCTGTGACAGCAACAGCTGGAGATGACAAAAAAATCTTATGGGGACTAACTACGCATTTTAGCAAAGACCCTGATTCACAGAGCAGCACTGCAGGACTTCGACAGCACTGTACTGGCAGCAGTGCTCTGCAGCAGCTCAAGACTTTTTGACAAGTACCTAGCCTGTACTGCTAGGGCACTGGTTTTATTCCAGCAATTGGTCTGACAGAGGAGAACGCACACGGTAGATGAAGTAAATTTATGGTTTCTCTGTACCATTCAGTTGTGAGTCAAATATCAAGGTATGTTCCCTCCACAACCTATTTCACTGATGAATCCTGATTGAGGGGAACTTAAATATTAATTTCTAAAGAGGATATGAAACTCGAGAATGCAGCATTGCAGGAGAGACTGACTTCCTTTTTCTCTGTGGGCACATTCAGTCCATGACAACCTTGGCAAGAAGATGGAAAACCCATAAACCCCAAGCATCTGGGACAATCATTAACAGATTAACATAATCACATGCCAGAAAGTCTTTAGAAATACTGGAAGAGAATATCTGTGTTTATCCAGACTGGGGCATACATGTGTTGTTTTCATGAGGGGTAACAAAACAGCTAAGAACAGACCCATCAACCTTTTAGTAAAGAGGATGAGGATTTCTGTGAGGAATGGTATGTGACTCACAGTAAAGGTAGAGCTCTTCATCTGGGAGACAACTACATTTTTGCGTATGTAACCCAGGAGAAATCTTTCGCCCTATTACCAGCGTACCTCTGTCATTTCTCTGGGGATTGGCATACTAAGCTAAATGAGACATTCTTTCACCTATCAGCTGGACCAGACTTCTGCACAAAGAAGGGAAAACAAAGTTCAAGGATTATATGATATCAGAGCTTAGCATAAAGGAACCCTATGAACTAGAATGTCAGACTTCCACCAGAATGTGTACAAACCTTGCTTCTTGATCCCATTCTATCCAGTGAGACAAAACCAACCACAATATTGATGCATATAAAGAAGCGATAATGAATGGAAAACTTTCTGCTCCCTTCCTGGTCTCCAGGAAACACAGCTACTCCTGGACCATTAATTACATTTAGATCTCCCCAGAAAAGAGGATGGAACGGGAAGAAGGGTCACATCCTACTCTTCTGAGAGGCCAGCAAAGTTGCAAGGTGCTTCTTATGCAGGGCAGACAGTAAATCTGTCATTCATAGCTGGGCCTGTCAGACTCCCTCAGAACTGGCATTTCCACCACCTCTTAAAGCCAGGACCAGAGCTCCTGAAGTGAGCTCATCTTTTCAAATAGTTTCTTCTTACACTCTTCATCTACAGCGGCAGCATTTTCCTTTTATTGCGTAACTGATTTAAAGGGTCTGAGGGGAAGACAAATGTGCAACAGATCCTGGCTGTGTCTTTGCGATCTCACTTTCATTTCCCTAATGGCTCTATTGTAATTAGATTTGCAAAACCAGCAAAAGGTCTCATTTTGAATGGCAACAGCTGTTGACATCAAGATTACATTGAATAATTTACTGGTTTAATTTTAGCTGCTAAACAGTAAGAGCCTCTTGTGGAAGATTATTTCACTGGTTGAAGTTTTCTCTTTTCCCTCTGGCTGCCTCTTGCTTTCTTTGTATGCTGGACACCACTAACCATCTCATCAAAAAGACACTTCTTACTGATGCAGCCCATGCAAAACAACGGTTACGTATTCGACTAGTGTTATTTTGTTACACGTTCTTAGTTCTCGCTCAGATATGTGGTCTATATACTTCCAAGTGTAAAAAAGTGATGGTGGAGATACTTAGACAGGACTTGAGAAATTGATCATCAGATTCAGGTTTCCAATAAACCCATCTCATCAGTCCCCCTATGAAAAAAGATGACACTATCATTTCAGTCTCATGGAAGTGCTGCAGGGTTATTTCAGCAATACCAAGGAACTGAAATGAAAATTCCATCTACAAACAAATACTAAAAGTAAAGTAATTGTACATGCCTACACTTAGGTGCAAATGGAAGCATTTGTTACAAAGCAGAGCCAGCTGGTAGGAAAGCTAATTGTGCATTGCTTTAAAAAGAAAAAAAAAAAAAAAAGTTCTGTGTGGTTTTCCAGAGAGGCGTAAACTTATTTTCTGATAAGCTGCTGGAATTTTATGACTGGAACCTGAATGTCATGAGAAATCCTGGAAATCAAGCTACATACACTGCTGTAAACACTCCATATTCAGGAGTGGAACAAGTACTTTAACAAGCCAAACTGTAGCTAAATCAGTGGTCTATGAACAGTGACTAGGATGGCTCACTTCACAGAGTTTGTACTTACCCTTGGGTGCAGTTTGGATGACACGGATGGCACTCACGATCCTCATCGGCGTATTTGAAAATGAAACTGTTTGCCCCCTGTAAGCCATCAGGACATTTCTCCACACAGTTCGGACCATCCTTAAAATGGAAACACTTTGTGCAGTGGTCAGGTCCCTGGAGAATATGGAAGACATGCAGCACATGCTCAAGTTACTCTGTCTTCTCCTGCTGCACTAGAATTACAGATTCTAGCATGACAACACACTCAGCAGTAACTCCAGTAGCATTTCTTTCCCAATGAACAGTGAGTTACCTGCATGGCCCCAGTCACAGTTCAGGAGCAGCACGCGGAAATCCTGGCGGCTCTGGACAGAAACTTATTCTGTAGAGCTTAAGACTTAAATTCTAGCTTCTGAACAGGTTTCTCCACATTACCGGTGTGCTTAACACAACAAACTTCATGCCCACTTTAAATCTACATGAGAAAAGTTTCCTGCAACACTAATCAGTACTGAACTGTGCTTGCAAAGCAAGTGCAGTGGTCTTACAGTAGGATACGCTACCTCTGCAAGCCAGAATTATTCTCCAAACTGCATTCTCCCTGCAGCATCTGGTCACAACAATGCTGAAGGACTACAAAGCCTCCTTCTTAATACATACATAGACTGGACTGTTAAAAGCTATAAACCAAGGTCCCTGGAACAATGTAAATTGAACATTTTAAGCCAGTGGAATGAAACAAATCTGGTGTTCAGTTTGGGCACTGGTTTATGATTTTACATCCAGAAGTCCTACTACAAACCCAAATTCCCCTCCTTGGCTGAAAACTTGCAACATTAGCTTCTTGCTTTGTAGTATCAGAAAGCACAGTAGTGCAACAAAAATGATGATGAGAATAATTAGTAGTGTAATGCCATTGTTTTGTTTCTAATCTGTAGGTTAAGCCACGGAAACAAAGAAATAAGCTACAGGTTAAGTTTTCTCAGTGATGAAGAGCCTAAAATACAACTCCTCACTATCCTGCATGTTTCTTTTAATCTTGGCAATATACAGAAGACCAAAAGAAAGGAACAATTTCTGTCTAAAAATGAGCAGTAGTCCTTGAAACAGGACTCACTGGACATATAAAGGTGACAACTGCAGTTAACATTCATTTTAGGATGCATGCAAAAGAAAGCTGTATCAAAACAACGTCAAAGGCTGGCCTGTGTAGGAAAAAAAACACATCGCTCAAGCTTTCTGAGAGATTGTGACAGATTTCCACACTTTTCGTGAAAAAAGGCAACTGAAATTACAGTAAACAGCACAGAATTGAATATAACGAATAAAAACAGTGATAAAAGAGGACGCTCAAATTGCAGCTGAATACCTTCTGTCATTTAAAGACCTTGTGCATCTACACCGCTAAGGCATTAAAACAACTCATGAAAGAAAAGGGCACACATTTTTAAACCATCTTAAGGAGTCAAGGGAGTTTACTCCTAGCATCTGTTTAACATGTGCAGAATTCTGACCCACAAGCAGAGTGTGTACATTTATATTTATTTATTTTACTTTTGTTAACATTGGTTTTCAACAGCCACTCTAAATCCTCCAAGCAAAAAAATGCCTGTGGCTTTAGCACACTCTAACAACCAGCTAGGCCACAATACACCAAAGGTTGCTCTTACCGGCCCGTAGCACGTGATCATGTTGTCTTCCATCTTTTCACACTGGGGATCACACTCCACACAGACAGATCCATTTGCAAATTCACGAAATTCCCTAGAGAAATATTTTGCAGGCAGGTTAGGAAAAAGCAGAAGTGAGACAGAAACTGAGCTAAAATGGCTGCCTCTTCACCTGGTAGAAAACAGCTTCACTAAGGCCAGTGGACTACACCAGCTGAAATCACTTCTAATTGCATTTTGCTGCTTTACAACAGCTGAAAATCGTGCACCATCAGCAACATCACTCACAGGCAGGTGAAACAGTAGACATCTTGTTTACCAGTATCAAACCTCAGTGTTTTTCTCCTTTTCCCTTAAGAAATAAGATCCTCATTCACACTAGGGAATGTAGTATATGAAGTAACTCATTTCTGTTTTTATCTAAGGTTCAGGAAGATATTCGTTACATGTAAGACATTGCTATCAGATAGGAAAACATTAGGAAGTGCATCGATTACAGTGCTCTTTATGTTCTTTTAGTTAAGTCTCTGCAAACACTCATACTTCAAAGCCTTTCTCCAAAAAGCTCATAACTTGTTTTCATAAACAACAATTCTAGACTGAAGTCTGAATCTAAAAGTGTAAAAAAAAAATAGTTTTGCTCATTTATTTCATGCATTCAGACACAACTATCAGCTAAGGGATCTTTTTTTGTCCTTTTAAAATTATTATTATTATTAACCACTTAGAAGCGGGAAAAGAAAATGTTCTGCTAATAGTTGGATAGGGATTTCTTCCATCAAACATCAGGTGTCTCAATTCAGCTGCCAGCTGCCTTTTACAAAAAGCTCCAGCACCTTCTCAACACTATTCACCTCACCTTATTCTAGACTGAAACGAAGTAACACCTGAGAGGTAGCCTCCCTCCCCACTAATCGCAGAGAAAACCTACGTGATAAACTCAGACAGGACACCTAAGCTTTACAGATGGATCCCATCTTGTTGCACTATCCATTTATAACATTTGCGTTAATTAAAGATGTGCTGCCCACTCATGCCCATGGGTGAAGGCCTTTGTGCTTAGTTTACTGATGCCCTCCCTCTGCCCCTCTACAACCATCAGGATCTACTGCACCAATACAGCTAAGGAAAACCTCACTTGACCATTCCGATTAAACTCATCCTTCTCTAGCTTTGGAGACAGGGCTTTCCTGCTGAGGACTTAAAGAAGTTAAATACATTTGACCCTACCCTGAAATACTGTTGTTATCCTTCAAGATGAACATGCAGAGCTCTCAATCAAACAAGAATACTTCTCCCCAAGCCCAGGTCACACATCTCATATTTACTGAGGAGCTGAGCCTGTGTGAAGTGCAAATACCATTCCCTAGTCAATACAGTTCAGAACATCCCAACTAAAGGGCTGGTTAAGCCATCCAAACACAGAGCCTCCTTGCAATCTTAGCGAGACAGGCACCATGGCAGGACCAGCCTCCAACTGCCCCAGAATTTGTGCTCAAATATGTTCTGGTGCATATAACACACTTGCGATCTGAAACTGTTTAAGCATATAGAATGGTAATCTGTCAATGCTTTTTGCATGCCTTGTCTAGATAGAAGAATTTAGATTATTTTCATGTATTTACGGGAGTTCATTTAATACTCTCCCCATAACAGTTCCATGAGTTGGCAATCAAGGCAGGAAAAGAAAGAAACCATGCAGTGATACTATTTTCAATTAGCACCTTGAAGGAAAAGATGTAATTACAATCATTTTTCTCTTTTTTATTTATCTTTATTATAAAAGAAACTCTAGGGACCTTGGTATACTGTTATTCAGGTAAGTCAAATTCTACCTGCTTCCCCCCACAAACTAATTATGAAATTATTCTGCTGCAAGTCACATAAACAGCTTAGCTCTACTTCCCTGTCTTAAGGCAGACTCTGCCGACTTTGTCTGTGCAGCGTGTAGACTATCCACCCTTTGGAAAAGATGGTGCACGTGCACAAATGGAAGGAAAAAAAAAGAATTCATTTTGGTTGTATTATTGCTATTTGTGTGTAGCATACAGAATGTTTCATAAAGAAAAGAAAAGAAAAGAAAAGAAAAGAAAAGAAAAGAAAAGAAAAGAAAAGAAAAGAAAAGAAAAGAAAAGAAAAGAAAAGAAAAGAAAAGAAAAGAAAAGAAAAGAAAAGAAAAGAAAAGAAAAGAAAAGAAAAGTTGTCCTACTTTGGGGTCCTTACTCAGAATTTCCTGACTACATGCCCAAATCTAACTCATCTGAAAGAACGTACCTTATGTTTTTCTGAATAGGGGTGTCAATATTCAACTAGGGCTAAATGTTTTAAGTCTTCATCTAAATCAAATTGTTCACATTATCAGGAGTGTGACAGGTGAAACAAACTAATGTTGTATGAAAACTTGAGGAAGCACAATACTAGATAAATCCTTCTACACAAGTTCACATTATGAAATACTTAGAACTTATCCCATAGTGTATTTCACACACAAGCAACAACATTGGCAGTGGAACAGATACTGCTTATTGTACAAACAAGTCAACTTACACATTAGAATCCTGAACAATGTAATCAAGCAGCTTCAGAGAAAAGTGCAAGGGGAATAAAAGGAAATATCTTACCCATCATACAGGTTACAAGACTCTATGCAGGTCCTTCCCCTGATGAAACGCTTGCAGGAGAGACACTGGTCTGGCCCTGGTCCCCAGCAGCCGTCACTTGAGCATAACTCATTACACACCATCCCATCGGCAGCTGCAGAGAGAGAGGATACTGCCATTAAATTACATAGTCCTCTAAAATCCAAGGGACAGTTCATCCACCATTCAAAAAACCACGATATTCCCCTCAGAAACATGGCAGCAAAATCCCTCATAAACCAAGACCCAACTCTTCCTGCGCGTAGCATAAGCCAGTACACACAGTACACAGACATGCTGCAAAATTCCACTTGGATTCTGACTGTGTTTGCAGAGGGTAAAAAGCCTCTGACTTCAACAGCCTTGAAGATGTTACTAAATTTCAGTCTCTGAAAAGGAAACACATCGTCCAACCGCATCAATGTTCCTCCAGAGCAGCAATCTTTCTTTTGCCCTGATGAACAGTCTTCTCAAATCAGACCTGGAGTAAAGTTAGCAGAACTATTCAGCACTGAACCCTTACAATAAAGGAGCAATGATGGGTCAACACCACTGTTATTAAAGTGACCATTCTAACTCAAGCTGTCTGCTGACAATCCATCAGAAAATGAGTTTTCATTGTTTTTGCAATTTTAGAAAATGATTCTAGAGAGAAGGCTGAGGGACACATGGATGTATATCACAGAAAAATAGTGACGACTTCAGTAATCAGAAGTCATGCCTCACAAAACAGAAAACTTGCTCTCTGAAGCAGTCATATAGGCAAGAAGACCTGCTTAATATAGAGTGGTAAATGCAAACTGATGCAGATGGGAAGAAGAAAAAAAAAAAAAAAGATATTTTCCATACAGAATAATGCTAGATTAAATGTTTTTCTCTGAGCTGACTACTACAGCTGAACACAAGAATTTCGTGTTAACATCAATAGTGCTGTGAAACACCAATCTGATACGCCATGCTCAGTAAAGCATACCCAATGTTCACATGTTCTAGAAACAGGACAAAAGGAAAAAAAAACAGAAGTTAACATCTTACCACTACAAAAACCTGCTGTGCACTCACAGTCTGAGTACTACACCCCATTATGGTTTGTTCCTTTGAGAAAGGATAAAGTGAGAAAAAGGGCGCTGCAGGGCTGATCAGAACTAAGGAATAAACAGACTAGCAGCCCGAAACACAGATGAGCAAGGACATAATAAAGCCCTATGAAAACACGAACAAGAAGAAGATAGACACAAAACAATTGTCCACTGCTTCTTCCAAGTCCCTCAGGAACATTCAAAAAGACAGGAATCCAATAGGGTTCAAAACAGAGATTTTTCTTACTACCAAGTATAGATCAAGCTGCAGAATTCCCTGACACAGGACACGGTAAATGCCAAAGACTTGCAAGATTTGAAAAGTTAATTATCCAAGTCCACAGAAAAGCTGTTAAACTAAAATATAAAGCACTACAGCTGAACCAGGAACACCCTGAAATTAAGTTTATGGATGGTGGGGAAGAATTTGAAGTATCACTATTAATTGTGTCTTTTAAAATTCTTTAGTGTAAAAGCACCTGAATAGGCAAAGAGCTTTTTATATTAAACACACACACACACACAAAATTGTCCCTGTCTCAAAACCAAAATTTAGCTTAAATAAACAAAATGAAAGAGGGGTGAGGGAAAGGTGGTTTCAAACAGAATTGTGTGGTTATATAAACTTTGAAAATGAAAGACTGAGAAAATGAGCAAACAGCAAAAGCAAAACCCTCTCTCTCTCTGCAGAATTTGGGTGTCCGTTTAGCAAAACAGTAGCACGTGGAAGTATAGACGTCTTAATTGGACTTTACTCTTCCATGAGGTAGCATTGTATGCAAGTAGCTTATATACTAGACTGAGTAGATTAAAGATATAAAAATCTCCTAAATACCAGAGATGGCAAATACACATACACCTATAAAACAGCAACAACATACACACAGCACGCCTTTGCAGCGGGGCAGTAGCATAACCAACAGCAATTTCTCTCACAAAAGACAGAAAGCCCTCCGTCACCTTGTATTCAATAAAAAGACAGTCTTTTTGTACACTGTTTCTCTGCACTTCTTCCAGTATAGCAGCACACCTGGGTGATGGGAAAAAAAATACCCTATTTTCATTTCAGAATACCTGATGGTCTTGTGTCAAGGCTGGAATAGGGCAGGTAAGTACTAGCTGGCCATGCAGTCTACCTTAACAATTAAAGAGTTTACTGAGTTTTATTACCTGAGAGACAGTACGTCCTTATAGACCATTAAAGAAACAGCAGAAGATGCTTTCTACACTCTGCAGCATGTTTTCACACTGGTTGTTCTGTGCTATGGTGTATAACATACCACATTTGATCCAACTGAATACCTGCCATAGCATCTAACTGTATGGGAGAGCACACTGCTCCTTAATCGCTGTGTTTCATCATGTAGCATTGTTTGATGCTGGAACAAGGTTCATCAGGCCCATCTTTCTGATCTATACAGCATGCCTCTATCTTCTTCTGTTCCTTCCAAGGGAACTCGTACACCTTCTTTGGCCTGCTGAGATGCAAGAAGTTCATGTAACACTGGTGGGATGCTCTCTTTTGATATACACTACTTGTCCTGTCGCTTACTGTCACCCTGCTTCTGACCACTGAATTTACTGGAAAGCACTTCTTAGGAAGAAACACACAACAACTGTATGTGTGGCACATTTAAGTATTTCTCTGGCAGCCCATGTAGCAAGTAGGCAAGAGGCATCTTCTTTATTTCCTTTAATCTTGCAGTCGGGTATTTTGCTTTATACAGATTGAGAATGCCAGCTTCTCTCTTCTTTTTATTCCCTGAACACTTTCATAGTTCAGTGCCAAAAAGGACATCTCACCTTTACTTTGTAGAAAGAAGCATAGGAACCCAAAGATTTGTTGTCCTCTGGCCCTTGCAGGCAAACTGACCCAAAAAAAGCAGATTCATACTTTCTACTTGTGCAGCACTGCTGTTGACGCTTTGGAGCTCTGCTACACAATGTAGTAATTGAGCAGGTAGATGAACACTACTACATGGTCACTACAGTACCGCAAGTAACCTAGGATATGACAAGTCTGCACACTCCTGTCCTTTAAACACACACACACACACACACATATATATAGATACACATGTAAATATAAATATCAAGGCTGGGGTGCCAAAATACATATCACATTTTCTTAATGACAACAAAAAGGATAATTCTGCATGTTTTCTGGTTGTTGTTCTTTTGCATCAAAACTCAAGTCTGTCATAGCCGAAGGAAAAAAAAAATTATGAGTAACTAATTTTGCAGGTGGTCATTTAATTTCTTTTGGGTTGAACTAATTCCTGGAGATAGCAACACAGCAAGAGACCGGAGCTATTTAGCTTTATGCCACTGCATAAAGACATCTCGTTCTCTTTGCCTGAACTCTGCTGTAAATCAGGAGTCCTTCTGCTGAAGTGAAAGGAACCAAACCACACAAAGCCAGTGTGAGCACAGATGAAAAATGCAGATTTACAATACTGTCCTAAACCATTTATTTATTTATTTTACAGCATGACAACATTTATAGAAACTAGAAGTCAATAATTCCACTATGCTGCTTCTGACTGAACTTCACAGAAGCTGGCATTTGGCAAAAGTTTTACATCTGTAAATGCTACATCTAGCCAACATTTCCTTTTTCACCTACTTTTAGACATTTCAGTCTGATGCTGGCTTTGTACAGTTGGTCCGCACACGCACTGACTTGGTACTGAAGGCCAGTTTGGTCCTGCTGCATGTTCATTGCCTGCAGAAGCACCCAGCAAAAAGCTCAACGTGACGCAGCTGCAGCTGGTCATTTCAGGGGAACCCCAGTCATGCCATGGGATTTCGGGCACACTCGAGGTCTCCCTTAGAGTAGACTCCAGGGCTTCATGCCTGGTCTGCCCATCTCCCTTGATCTCATACAGGCTGGTGGTGACGTGTGACAGACCCTGACCAGACAAAGAAATGAGCCCTGCCTCACACTGTCTGCCACAAGGACATCTGGGATTACCAGACAGCTTCAGGCTCAATCCGCAGAAAAAAAGGAACTGCTCAATCCAACCCCCACCTGCCCTGAGCCCAGAAACTATCACAATTCAAAATAAGCAAACCTTTTGTAAAAATAGTCTCATTTTTCAGTCAATGACTGGCTTTAAGTAGTAGTCAGGCAAGTAAAAAAAAAATTGCTTTAGAGATACCTTTGTTCTCCTTTTTAATCCTAAGAATAATTTAAGTTCTAATACTGTTTTATAAACTCTTGTCATTAAAAGGCAGTTTCCTATTTTTCTCAATTTTTAGTAACTTGAAATCATGTTTTTATTACTAGCCATTTCTTTTCCCCCCCTCGACTATTAGAGTACTCTGAATCAAGAATTTATTTACGAAGTGTTGCACTAAAATATTCCTTGAAATAGCAAGGAATGCTATTACAAGATCACTCAAAGTATACTGAGTGAACGTTATGCAAATGAAACGAGAGCTATTCAGTAAAGAAAATCAAGATTATCCTATCGAAATCTAGCCAACAGTAGCTGTAGTCTATGAAAAAAAGCAACAGTAGAAAATAATAATTAGAAAACACTATTTCCTTCTGCTTATTTCTAAATCTTTTAGAAATCTTTTTTTTTTTTTTTTTTTTTTTGCAAGCACTATGCTTGCGGATATGCTTTCTTCCTCGTCTTTAAGTATATGCTTAAAGAGATGTTCCAATTTTAGATGTATTATTTGGCATTTTCACACACTGAGAAAGTTCTAAAGCTCCAGCATATCACACGGCCATAGGTGCAAGGAAAGAACAATAAAGCTTTTGACAGGAACTCATTTTGATTGGGAGTTTTAGAACAAATGCTCATTCTTTATCAACGGGGTCACACAGGTTAGAATTAAAAAGGCTCATTGTTTTTTCACCAAACCAGTTAGAACTGAAGAAATTCAGCTTAAAAAAAAAAAAAAAAAAAAAAAAAAAAGATAAGTTATTTGGCTATATAGTTAGGGACCTGATCCAAAGCTCCTTGAACTCGACAGAAAAACTCCTGCAGACTTCAGTTAGTTTTGCATCAAGCCTGACAATGAGTGGAATCATTTATTCAAGTTGTTAATTGGTGGCTAAATTGACATAATTCATAACAACCACATTTGTAACAACCTTTGCCTGGAAAGGTTTCTCCACACACTGCAGGTGTCAGCGGAGCTGAAAGCAATTATTTAAATAACTTGGTAAAAAAACACATTTTTTCTGAGTTTATTTTGTGTGCTCTCATATTTAACATGAGTCACCTCTGACTGTTCCATAAAATAACCATGCTGGGCAAAAAAGGCCAATTTTTGACTTCAGCACAAAGTAACAGTAAAATCTAACCACCAGAGCACATTCCCTAACAAGTAACTTTAACTCCGCATTAATTATCTTCATAACACAATAAGGTTTATGAACATCACAGGCTATAGCAGGAAACAATTAAAATTACACATTAGATGAGAAGACCCAAGGGAATGGAATGGAGCTGTGATGGGAGCTTCAGGCTGGGTGTGAGGAAAAGGTTCTTCACCAAGAGCTGGCCAGGCACTGAACAGGCTCCCCAGGGCAGCAGTCATGGCCCTGAGCCTGATGGAGTTCAAGCAGTGTTTGGACAACGCTCCCAGATACCTGGTTTAATTTTTACGTAGTCCTGTATGCAGCCAAGAGTTAGACTCAGTATTACGTGCAAGTCCCTTCCTACCAGAGAAATTCTGTGCTTCTCTGAGAGCTCCGTGCACTGTATTTTGGACAAATACATTCCAAATAATTTCCTCTATGGTTATCCATTTAAAGATACCCATTTGCCATATGAATTCTTAAACAATTTTGGGAGACACTGTCAGACTGTGCTAGAAGCACAACGGCTGTCAAAGTTTCTACTTAACCTTCCCTCTTCTCTTGTAACCAGCCTCCATGCCTAGGAATCTCTCAAGGTCCATGTAGTTCACAAATCCCTCACTGCTAATCACACCCTGCAGCATTTTCCACTCACTGAAGTCCATTGTCATCATTCTGATCAAAAGAAATCAGACTTGCATGAAACTGTTGGGCCAGCGTTAGCTCACAGATGAAGCACTATTGTAGACGGAACTTTTATATGAATATTTAACTTCCTCAATAATTCTTCAGTGTTCAGCAGAACACAATATTAAATGGTATCAAAAAGATGCATCACCATCTTGTGATGCATAATAAAAGCCACTTACTATATGAGGCTGAGCAGGTGATCTTAGGAGCTCTCACATGGGTTTTAAGAAAAGCTACATGTGTATTAAATGTTTGCTGTCATTTGTTTTAAGGCAGTAATAATCACTAGGCAGTGAGGAAAGCAGTAACAAGCTGACAGTGCCTCAAAATATAAAAAGGATTAATAATAAGCACACCAAAATGTGGCTGTAATAATTAACATGGTCTGGATTGGTTTGTTTTGTGGGAAACCATATGAAAAACAATCTTTAATAGTTATTTTTATAAATAATTGACACACCGCTTGATACCACACAAACAGACAGCATTTCTACCACAGAAGCTAGATTTTAATCCTGCAAATACTTAGAGATTTACATTTGCATTTACCCTCCCCCCCCATTCTGATTAGCCTTGTTTGTCACTCAGAGAAGCACATGCATATGCACAAGCACCCGTGCAGGATCAGGGCCTGAAACAGGCAAAACAACCAGAAGGCAGACATGGAAACCCTAGCGGCTTGCCCTCAGCTAAGAAACATTCAGGCAGTGGAAGATTCGGAGAAAACTCCCCAAAACCCCAGTCTGTTGCCCTACCCTGAAAACCACAGATGTTTCAAAGAATGCTGGAGAAATGCATCTGGCTCTAAGGAACACTTCTGTCTTACTCAAAGTAATTGTGAGGATTTTAGTTAGACATCTAACCTGCAGCAGAACCTATTTAACCCCAGAGAGGTGCTGACTGACAGGCGGAGTTGAAGCAGCAGGATAGCTCTTCTCATCTACTGCTGACTCTCAGAAGGCCACAAAACATTAATCAATTCATTCACACAGACGTTCACAGAGAGAACCGCTGCTCCCTTTTAGGATTCAGGAAGTAAGCAGTCTAAGACGTTGCTTTCTGACCTGAGTAGCCTGGCCTGCAGCCTATGTTCATTAAATACAGTCTGTTTAATAAACACAGGTTAGAGTCCATTTTTAGAACTAATCCCTTGGTAGTGTAGCTTACACTACGGCTTCTTACGGAGAAATAAAAGAGATCTGTTTTCCTCAGGAAGATTCTCTTGGCGTTAAATTTCGTAAAACATCTTTAGTAGTAGTTTTTTTCCTAGCAAGTAAAAGCCTCTACTATAGCAAATCCTCAACAAGCTGAAAGTCAAATAAAGTTTACATTTTCCGTTTGTGTTCAACTGTACTGACAAGACACAGTGTAAGAGGACGATTTGACAGTCTCTTCTCATTTCCATTTGCTCAGCAAGTCTGTGTTTCAACAGCTGGGGGCACTTCAGAGACACCCAAACTTAGTGATCATAGTAAAGGGCAAAGATATTTGACAAAGCAATCCTGACAACTAGTACAGGACTATACTCCTAACTGTTGTTTTCAGCTAGGTCTCCAAGCTCTCCAAACCAGTCAAGTAAAACACTGCTCCATGAAGGGAAAAGCACTGTACAAAGTTCACTTCTGAGTAGTTTTTCATTGTCTTCTAACATGTGTTCTGTACAGAACTTGAAGCGAAGAGGAAGTGCTAATGTATGAGGCACAAAGACTATGCTCTACTCTATTACTGCTTTATTTTCATACTGAATTTCTCTGGACAGAAGAGAGCCACTTTTGTTGTTTCCTTCAATGATGCATCATTATCAGACAGCTAGCGCCAATCTTGCTATAAACAAGCAAAGATGTGAAAACAGCAGAAAGCACCAGGAACAAGACGCTTCTCTCCTAGTTAGCAGTTTTTCACACGGTGGAAAGGAATCCTGCACCTTCCTCTGAAAGGTTCATAGATTCTTATCTCTCACAGCAAGACTGGACTACTAAGATCCTACTGGAATATATTTCAGCAGCAAAAGGCATTTATTTAACTCATCGGTAGAAAAAAATGGTAAATAACAGCCAACAAAATCCCACGTAGAGACATACCAAACAAGGCTTTACGCTTCGTGAAGCTCTCACCCGGCAGAAGAAATGAGAAAAATAACCAAGCAGAGGCGATTGATATTGGAACCTAGCCTCATACTACAGCAACAAGCACAGCCACGAAGCCTTTCAAAGCAGAACAGAATAGTACTTCAAAGGGTGGAAAAAAAAAATAATAAATAAAAAAGAACTAAAAGATTAACTTGAAAGTAAGACCACAGCCTGAAAAAAACTCAAAGCATACACTTCTGGCTGGCCAAACCCCAAAGAACAGACATATCATTTATACATATACAGCAATTTAATGAACTTCCTCTCTGGCAGCCTAACAGATGCTCAAAATGAACTGCGTTGCTGCTACAACATGACTGCATTAATGCAAGTCATTGTGTCATTTCTGTGTCGTTTCAAATTATTTCATCTCCTACACAGCACTGTTTTTCAGTACAGTGACCTTAGGCCAGGTGTTAGCACATAAGCCTTCCAAGGCAAGCTACCCCAGCTGAAAGTCTGCTAGTAATCCAGTATCAGATAGGCTGAGTACAGAAAGGAGAATTCAATTACCAAAAAGAGTCCCAAAAGTCACCTTTCTGGAGTAAGATAGCACCACTCTGACAAAGCAGAGTAGGAGAAGCAAGAGATGCTAAACTCACCCCCGTAAAAAGAGGGCTATAATTTTCAAAACTGTCAAATCAATGCCTTCCATGAACACCATATTTGCTACACATTTATAGCCTTCAGAATCCCCATTTAGGAAACTGGATCTCTTCTCTCCAACGTTCACACCACAGCAAGGAAGCGGTGCTTTCCCTCCCCTCTCATTCCTTCATACTTAAAAAAACTTTATTTGCCTATAAATCTTCTCAGAAAGGCTGGGCCATATTTACAGATTGTGTAATGATCACAGACCCACTGATGTTCACAGAGCTCATGCCAGGTGACACCAGGTGAATTCTGGCCTGCCCACAACAGCCTATCCTCAGTAGCTCCACCATTTTCACCCCAATCATAGCCAGTTATAAGCAAGAAGGCCTGCACTGAGCGGCAGTACTTACTGCAGTTCTCTGCTTTTTTATTTCGGTGAATCACCGTCTTTTGACTGGGCGTACTGAAAAGGCTGGTCCAGTTGACTGTGTGGTAGTAGCACAGATTGCTGTTGTCTGTTATGTAGATGTTGCCAGCACTGATTTGCTTCAAGGACTGGAACTGCAAAGAGGTAATGCCTTGTTGCTTTAGGATGAGTAAGGAAAGGCCACTGTGACAAAAACAAAAGAACAGGAATGAGCCCCAGGAGGTGGAACTTCCAAAGGCTGGTTGAGAACTTCCCACTAGAATTAGTTTCTAACGGCAGAATAACCTTTTTTTGCAAAGCTGAAATTTGGTCAGAAAAACATTTCTTTAGGGGTGACATAAACATTCTGTGAGTCAAAACCCTTTTTTTTTTTGCCCAGAAAATTACAAGCCCTGTCAGAATCATGATAGCACAAACTGTGAGGCTCGGGATGCAGCCAGCAAAACCACTCGATTAAGTCAAACACAGTTCGATTTTGTATGTTAACTTTTTTTTTTTTTTGAATGAAGTGCAGTTAAGAAAATTTTAGAAAAATCTGTTCCTCCCCCAAGACAACAGAATTAATACTGTGATAGTTTATGTGCTAAGGAAAAATTGACAAAGTCATGCAAAATGTATTAACATCTTCTGTCAGGCATCAAATTAATGTCATTTATAGTAATACAGGCAGAAACCGTTATTTCCAAGGAAATTTTTCCACCCACTTTCTACATTTCATTTTTCTTTTATTGTAATATATGGTTATCTCCTTTCTTCATCAAAGGAAGAGGCAAATGATTGTGTGTATAATCTGTGAATGACTGCACATATTTTATGACTGATGATGAGTAAAGACAACAGCCAGTTTCTGGGCAACCTTTAAGTTATTGTATTTTAATGATTGTAATTGTTTTCCAGCTGTTCTAAATAAAAACTGCTGCTTCCAAACAAATGCTGGGCTGTAATTCAATCTCAAGGTTTCACTGCTATTCATAGTCTGCTTGGCCTGCTGTTTAAGATGCCAGCAGAATCCCATGACTGATTTACTACATTTACACAACTGGGAACCAGAGTTTGCTCTATACATCATTCCGCTATCTTGTGCTCCTCCATTACTTCTCACTGCATTTTCTTCTCTTCAAAATCAATTCTTCTGTACGAGTGTTCATATTGAAACATCTCTGGTAAAAGTGGCACTACACAGCTAACACGTGCCCCATCTGTGAAGTACTTCAGTGTTCTTCCATGTATTTATTATCTTTTACGGCTCCTTAAGAGCAGATTGTTCCTTGGACGCGTGAGCCTGCACCTCCGTTCGCACCCATAGAATCTTCCAGATAATGAGGCTAAGTAGTTTCTTTCAGTTTACATTTCACATTCATAACATATTTTAATATCATAGGAAGTATTTGCTGGACAATGATTTAAGAGCTACAACAATGACCCAAGACATTCTAAGTTTTTTTTGTTGTCTTTATTTTTTTTTAAACCATTATAAACAAGTGCTTATCAAAGATACTGTTAACGAATAACTTGGTAACACAGAAAACATACCAGTTTATGATGCCTTTCCAGAAGGATGTCGCAGTCTGGGCTACCAAATAAAAGGCTAATAAAAAAAATATTCCATAAACAGAGAGAGTACCTTACCTATATAGAGCTCTTCCACCAATTGTAACCAAGTTAGAAAACACCCTGAAATCCGTCATATTCTCAGGCCACGACTGTATATTCAAATACCCTGGAGGAGGTAAAGGCAAACAGGAACATCAGTCATTTCAGACATAAAGACCGCTTGATCACGTACATGAATTAAGACAGGCCTAACCTGTAACTGAAAGACAGTGCTGGCCTGAGTAAAAGAAAGAAATAAGTAATGAATGCTGCACAGTATGGTGTGGGAATTCATCAGCCTGCTCCGCACTGTCTCCTCCAGGAAGGCAACGGAAGACTTCAGCAGTGTCACAGCAGCAGTGTCATAGCACTAAGTCCACTTCCAACAGCCAGACTTTCAACAGCCTAAACACAAGCTGCAATCTGCAAGGCCTGCCAGCCACTTCTTAGAATTTGACAGAATTAGGATTTGCCTTAATTAAGAAGGATCAGTTTAAAATGTATTGCATACTTTGGACAGAAGTTGAGAGATCCTTTTTGAAGCATACAAAGATAAGACTTCCCTGAAACAAAGAACTTGGCATTCCTTTCTGAGTGTGCGTGAGGACCAGTCACCACTGGAAAGCAGTCTCTGCATAGGCAGAAAGTGGAACTACATATTTTGTTCTACAAAGACATCTATACGCGTAGTTCCCTATGATTTTTCAGTACAGGACTGAAATGCAGTACATCTGTAAGCACAGGGATAATGCCACTTAAGTGGTAGAGCAGACGCTGTCACAACTGGTGTCTGCAACACTTGTCTCACTTTGCTAGCACTGTGCCAAGACCCACAGCCCACTCAACAGTAAGGTCTTTGTATTCCGGTGTCTGTGTACCCCAAATGCAATGTTCACTCTGTACTCATTAGAAAAGGACAATGCACTTGTTAATAATATGTGATACTGGAGCTGTTCTGTATTAAGCTTTGTTAAATTGACAATACGCTGCCTTTTAAGAAAAAAGCATGGTATCTTCAGAAAAGACACCAAATCACAACCATAAATGCAAAATGAGAAGAAATTCAGATTGTACGAATCAGAAGTGTTTGTTACCTGTTATTTCTCTCACTGTTTGGAAGATATTTAATTTCTCCGGATTAATAGCGGCGATTGTGTGGTATGGATCCCTGAAAGATTAAACGGACAAAATGTGATACAATGAATAAACAAAAAAGCCACGTTCACAAAGCTATGCCATGTAGAAATAATTATTCTTTCAGAAAAGGAAGTCAACATTTGGCTTTTTGGTAGCAGATGTGGCAGGTTTCTCCACTGTTTTCAATTTTTTCAGACTGTTGATTCTACAGAATCTGTAGAAACTTCTCCTAAGTCATCTTGAGGGGAAATAATGGTGCTTACTATCTTGAAGGATCAAATCATCAATATTTGAGTAAATACTTATGCTCTTGGAAAATTAATGGATTCTGAACAACTATGGATGATATCGCTAAAGGAAAAGATGCATGTTTTCAACATTTTTTCCAGGAAGGCAAACTTAAATGATAGTTTTAATACCGCACTGCCAGGACTGTACTTATAAAATCGCTACTGAAACAAGTAACAAGCTAAAACCAGAAGAAAACTAAGAGCATGCTGGCAGTGCCTGACCTTGGACATTACAAGGATGCACTGTTTAGAAGGTGTAAAATGGAACATCAAGAAGCACACACAGATCTTTGCCAAGCTAGTTGGTCATTAGAGAACTGAAATACCCCCATCAAACATGAGAATCTCTAAGTCAGGCATGCTATAACATGAAAAGATGAAATTGACTGATTTGACAGTGACGTTATTTAGCTTTTCTTGTTTATTTTTGTTTTAAATTTTAAAGGAACAAAGAGCATTTGCCTGGACAACGTCCACTAGGAGGAAACATACTGTGACACTCCCGTTATTTAAGGAATAAAAGCCTAACTCAAACAAAAAAACTCCTTTAAAACTCAATACCACAGTGTTATGGTATTTTTATAGGGTTTGTGAGGGTAGCAAACATCTTCAGTAAAGGTGGAACATGCATTTCCATCTCTCCTCCTTCTGCTTTCCAAGAGCAGAACTCCTGGAACTGGAACACATTGGTAATCAGCCAAGCTGTCTCTGGGGACAGGTCTCACGAGACTGTGCTGTGGCAGACTGATGGGGTCACTTTAACTATTGTGGAGGTGACTCCAGGATAGTGAAAAACAAAATAAATTCTTAAACCTCAATACAAAGTCCAGTGGACCACAGAAGCATCATATAAATGTAATTCTAACAATTTGGGGCTCTCAAAAGTAGGTAACAAATTTGTACTACCTAACAGAAACAGAACACTTTGCTTTTAAAATGCATTACTAAAAAAGGAAACACCACAACTGTACTGAACTTGAGGCTGCTGAATTTCACCTCCAAATCCTAAGATAAGGTGGTCTTTAAGGATACAAATTTAAACCTCCTTAACAGGCAAATGCCTGACATGTTTTTATCAGCTTCTAAAACTGCAGACTAATGCAGTTATCTACCATTCTTATTAGCAGAGACAAGATTTCTCAGTAGAACAGGCTCAGCTGGACTTCACAGCTCCAGGAATAAGCGTTTCAGCTGATTGTGGAACTGTAGACAGACAACAAAAGGGAAGATAAAAAGCTGGCTAGCACTGAGGGCTTGTTGCTCCTGCTGCAAAAAGGAGCATTTGCTGTTAGTTAAGGCTGTCTGTCCCCAAACTACACCCCCTCACAGGCAGCAGCACATCCAAAAGGCAGCTTGGCTTTTTAGGACCCCAACCACAAAAAAACAATCAAAAGAAAATTGCACCTGAGCTGTAGGGTTCCTCACCATTTTCTAGCCAACACGCTCCGTCTCGGGTCAGAGATGTGGATCTTTAAGAAGATCCCTTCATCCACACGCTTTGGCAGAGTACTACCTCAAAAGAACGAGCACTACTAACTCACCAAAATTTAAGGCCTACCTTTATCCCACTTCACATCTAGACTCTAATTAAAGTCAATTCAGAATTATATAATTTCTACATAAATAACCATAAATAGTTAACCCTGGAAACAGTTGCTACTTAAACACATAGTTTGCATACACATTGTAACAAAGGCATAGAGACTAAGTTTAAGAGCTCAGACAACAGAAAGGCTACAAAATGATAGGATCAAAAACATGACAGCATCAATTGTAAGTACAAAGTTACGAATCAAAACAACAAAATCCACTCTTAGCATCTTTCACTGACTTCTCTGCTACTACAAAACATCTCTCAGTTCCCCAGGCAGCTAGACTTGAAGTCCCTACAATCTGAAATGCTGAAAATTCACACAAAGAAGCGGCAGTTCACTGCATAAACAACTTTGTAACAGAAGTTAATTAGAAGTTCAAATGGACATATTTTTAAAAAAAAAATTATTGTTTTTGTCGATCTGCTCATCTATATAATAAACTACTTCTGTCGGTAGCTAGTGCTTTTTTATTTCTTTTGTGTACTACTCATTTGCAAAATTTACAGGAATATTAAACAAAATTCTGCCCCAGAGATACAAAGTTATTTTAGCACTCATATTTTTTTTAGTACACACTACCACAATTTATGCTGTGGAACAATTCAGGTTTGCAGAACTTGGTGTCTTCGTGCTTAAGACTGGTTGGAGTGAGGTTTGTTCATGAAGAATGAGACAAAGCTCTGCACAATTTCAATATTAACTGACCTAAAAGGTTTTCTTCTATTAAAATACAGCAACATATTTTAACTCCCTGTTTTATAGTCTGTAATTTATTTTTTCTTTTTTTCCCAAGGGACATGGTTTTATTCAAGATTGGTTTTGCTCCTTTTAATTTCAACAGATTTGTTAATGTGATCCACCTTGTAACTCTACAATTAATGCAACTTTTGCAACAAGTGCTCATCTAATTCTGAAACTTGCATTTCACTTAGTACACGGAGAATTGCTCAATTCCTCCAGCTGCCTACCTTGCATTTACTGCGTACTTCCTGCCAGGTAGGATTCAACAGATTTACAGCCAACCTCATGGCCAGTCATCGGGACAGATGAGGAAGCATTAAGGTGCAAGCACTGACTCCTGCGTGACCTTCTCCAGGCTTCCCCACGTCCAAAGCAGCTTTTCCTTAAACCATTCAAACTAAAGTGTTTCAAACTATGCTACATTAACCTTCCACACTGTACTCCCTGCTGGAGAGATGAGAAGGCCAACTATACAGCCAAAGCCCACATTTGCTGGCCTTTTGAAAATGAGCGAGCTGCAGAGCCCCCACTGAAGCAGATTTTCAACCTTCACATGGCTGGAGTCAAGCTGTAGGTGAAGAAGCATTACAACCAATCACCACATCAAATCTAGGAAACGAGACCTTTCTTTCCACCTCATCTAGTAGGCAAATTTGAGCCATACAACCTAGTGTCAACCACCTTAACACACCTGAACTTAAGACCAACAAAAGATCTGCTGCCAGAATTCCACTTAAGATCTGCATGCAGAAGTTCAGTTCATTACTCTCACACTATGCCATGAAATTGCAAACATGGAGTTAGTCTGGGAATTTATTTAGTATCACAAAGCTGGACAACTAATTGCAACCAGTACAGAAAGCTCTGAGAAGCCTAAAAAACATGGTAAAACTTCAAGGCTAATACAGTGGTAGAAGTAATGGAATACTTTGTACTGTTAGTGTACAACAAGACGTGTAAACCTATTACATATGGAGGAAAAAAAAGGGTTTCATCTTGTTAGCATGTTTTGAGAATTCTGCCCATTTTAAAAGGACCTGGAATACCTCAAAGCATCGCATATAATTTACCATGGCCAATTACATTATGAAGGCTTGAATTAGTCAGAAAACGCAGTCGCATGTGTGATCTCGGTGACAAAGAATGCAAAGCAAGAAAGTGGCTGCTTGCACTAGGCCTCCCCTGATCAAAATAAATTAACCCTGCTCTCCCTGGACACATCCCATCCTTTCAGAATTTGTACCATGCATTCACTTCTGATACAATGACACAAAGTGCAAACTATAAACAGCAAGAGGCTGGGTATTCGGCTGGGCTCTTTCTTTCCAAAAGAGACACTGGTGAGACTTCCAAATAATGGTTCTGTACCTCCACATGACCTGTAATTAAGACTTACTCAACATACAAAGATATTTAAACCGAAACACCATAGTTAAGTACCCCTGAGTTTTGCACATCTCTGCAATCAAACCTTTAATATATGTAATTTAAACCAATTGACTGTTTTTTCATACATGAGCAACAACCACCAGCCAGGCTCTGACAATTTATGGTACCCAAAGATCACAGTAGGCTTTTCTCCTTCTAGTGCCATCTACTTCATCCTTTCTCTTCCTATAGGTTGAATCATAAGAACGCCATTAACAGTTCCCTTCCTAACTAAGTCAGAAAACTTATTTACCCTGGATCTGCTGTTCAGCACAAGAAGCCTGCAGCCATAAGTAAGAGGTGTACGCTCCTGGTTTCGGCTGGCACCATGCCATAACATCTTTCCATTTTGTCACTTACCCGTGAATCCCAGTAACGAGGAAGATAAGGTTGCCATTGATCTTGGTACAGTTTATGAACTTGTCAATATTGCTGGAATCCACCGTCTGAGCTGACACTAAACTCCCTGTTCCAATGCCATCACATGCTGCCAAAAAAAGGAGTTGGTGTCAACAACTAGGAAAAACGATTACTGACCCAGAACACATTGGTCTTCTAAATGCGAGTCCTCGTTTCTTTCAGAGATAAAGCTGAAGAGATGTGTCAAAATGGTACTCCACCCATATTCCCCCAAACCATGTGCCCATTCAAAACAATAAGTCTAAGTACCTGCCACAGAAGGGCATCCCGGCAAACACCTTGTTTCACAGTGCTCTCAAGGCCAGTATGAACCCCAAAAACTCCCTCTTGAGCCCTCTGTGAACAGAGGCATGAGGACTTGGCTTAGAGCAGCTGGCTGGGTGGTCTATCTGCACGCTACTCACTGCAAATGGAAGGGGTCCCACACTGCTAGCTCAGCGGGTCCCATGGCTCTGACGGACCTGGGAATTTCACCATTCACACGCTAGAAAGCGCCTTATACAGGAAGTATGAAAAGTTCTTTCCTCATCAGCTCATTAAATAAATTAAGAGGCCTGAAGAAATTTTGGTACTGTGTGACAGATCTCTGTCTGGCCTTCAAAGGTAATTCAATTACATTTTCTGGGACACGTGATGCACGAAAGAATAAAACCTTTACAACTTCTGTAAGATAATGCATCTATCTCTCTAATGAAGTCTTCAAATGGCAACTATTAACACCACACCTGAACCTTTTACACACATGTAATAGCTTTCCTCTGTCCCATTAAGCAAGGCTAAGAGCTTGGCAAGAACAATACATATGTACTGACGTGCATGAACATGGACCTTTCTGGAGGGGGGCGGGGGTGGATCTGTTTACTGCAATTAGGTTGAAGGATAGAACACTACACACACTTAGAATTCAGTGTGTAATTCCCCAGCCTTGGCAGAAATATCTGTGTTTGTCTGTCTCAGCCATGTGGAAGTGACTGCTGATTTACAGGGTTTTCATAGCTTCATTGTGAATTCCTTTTCAGACAGGGCTTCCACTAGGACTGAAAAACAGCATAAGCCCATGCGGGAAAAGTGATGGTGTTTTGCTCCTGAGACATTCAAGCAGGGAGCAGAAAGCCTCCCCTAGAGCTCAGGACAGCAAAGTAATCTGTAGTACTGATGAGGACTGACACCTGTCACTGAAAAACTTCTAGTCCTCTCGAAAGACTAGAAAACAGTCTTCTGTTTTCCGGGAGAAGAAAGATATGGGAAAAACATAGATGTTCTGGGTAAACATAGATATTCTGGGAAAACAGAGATATTTTTAGAGAACAGACAAAGTAAATGGAAACCTAATGCTGTAGTGACAAGTGGGAGACACACCATACACCGAAGGCAAAATTTTAGTGTAGCCTCCTTTGGGATGACAAAAGGAGAGCTCCGAAACTCCTCCAGGAAATACAAGTCATTAAAATGATATAATAAAGAATTCCTTCAGATTTCTCTAAAACCAATGAAGAAATCCCCCTCATTTTTATCTAAGCAAAAGTAATTGGCTTAGTTATATTACCATTATAACTGAATAAATTTTCATTCCGTTGTATTTAGGAACACATTTCACACACAGCCTACACAGTTCAAAGTTTTGTGGATATCCAAAGGCTATTAATATCAAGTATTCTACAGCATACTCATACATATTTCATCCCAAACTAACACCCTGCTTTGGTCTACTAGAGTATAGACTACATTCAAGAAAATTTATACCAAATTACTGCCTACCTTTAGGACAAATGTCAGTGCAGGGCTTGCACATCTTAATACCATTTTCTTCAACCTCCATCTTAGAGCTCGGACACGCACGAACACAAGAACTGGAATCGACCACGAAGTTGTCTGAGCAGAAAAAAGAAAGATATTGGTAGAAAGTGAACCACTGGGCTAAACAATACTGGAACATACGGGTTTGGACTCTACTATGTCAATACATATTCTTATTTACCTCAGCACTTCCACATAAACACCGTTTAATATTCAGTGTTTTCAAAAGCATCTAAATAAGGAAGTTAGGCATGGCTTTGGTCACTCACGAAAATCTATGAACTGTCAGTTCATAATACCCCCCTGTCCACTCCCCCTCCCCCCAATTTGGTTTTATTATCATCTGTGAAAAAAAAAAAAAGAAAAAAAAAGAAGTTATGGGAATTGGAGAGAAATAAAACAAGATGCTCTGCCCTCTTTCACACACACACAAGTATATTTATTTGTCTGGGGTAACACTCCATGGGACAATGACAACTATTTCAATTTTGCCTTGTCAAACAACTGCCAAAGGGGCTTTAGACTGATCCTACTTGATTGAAAGCTTAATGTCAAGAGGGAAAAATAAGTCAGAAAGTTCAATGACGTATTTAGACAAAGGATCACATCCCTTAAGTAGTACAAGATATACCAGTGTTGTTAAAAATAAATATAAATTTGGCTTGCTTAGAAGTCCAACACTATTATTAGAGACAGAATTAAGCCTTGACAGTCCTAGTCTCACCCTACTGTCAGTGAGAACTTTGTCACAGAGATTCGAAGTTTGGACTTCGCTTTGTGTTGAATTATGACACTATTTTTTTTTATATATCACCCATTTTTCTCACAGATAAATTACACATAAGCAATGCACACCACAACTAGAAATCATGGTGGAAATTAAAGGGAGAGCAAGAACACTGTCTCCCTTATTTTTCTAACTAAAATGTCTATATCAGACTGTATCAATCAACTCTGTAAGTATTTGGGACTTGTCATCTGGCTTGCAATTCAGAAGCATGTGTTTTTCACATGCATGGATATTATTTTTTTTAAACACCCCCCTCCTCCTTGCTACTGTAATTTTACTTGTGGCATTGTTAGTATAGCATGTCTTCTTCCTCACTGGGAAGAACTGCAGAAAATGTTTATGGTAACTTGATGTCAGTCCATCATCATTCCAAGAAGAGGGCATCAGCATCATGAAAGCATTTGCTACCAGGTAGTACTGGTGGTGGACTAGTTATTTTTCTGAAACTGTGATTTCTACACTTTTACAATCCCACTAATAAATACAGCATTTGGCACTATTTTAACACTTCATTTCTAAACATACAAGGGCTAATCAAAACCATGACTATAACAAATAGTTCTGTCTTCATGACTATAACAAATAGTCATGCAGACAGAAACTCAGTGAATTCCCTTTCTTAAAAAAAAAATAAAAAATCACTCTAGTATAAGACACTTGGAAAGTGTCAGCAACACAGAACATCTCTGTCTTCAGTTAACATGTGACTGAGTTACTAAAGACTGCATGCACACGCAGAGCTATTTAAGACTATTCACTTAGCTCTCATTCTCTCATTGTTTTGCGAGGTTCTTGAAATGCAACTCAAAATTTTCCATCCCTGGAGGAAAAGGCAGATAACACAGCACTTACGTGGGCATTTCTTGACGCAAAAAGCCCCATACGTGTACTTGGCATTGTGATTATGTTCCAGTTGGAAGGTGGTGGGATTGTACACAAATGTCTGCGGGCACTGCGTCACACATGCACCACTGTCATTGAAATTCATGCAGGCCTGCAAAGCAAGAGAGAAGAAAAAAATCACCTTGATTAAATCATATAGTTGGTTGTGGTTCGTTTTGTTTTTTTAGCTTAACAGTCCTGATTACTCAGAAGTGTTGCGACAGTGAGAATTAAGACGCATGTTTTTCTAACCCCCGTTTTGTCTACTTAGATTTCTTGCTAGGACCTTGGCAAATACATGGCACATGAAGGAGGGCTCACAGAGACCCCTTAATTTGAAACACTGCTGCCTGTTACAGCACTTCCTACAGAAACATAACAGAACCGTAATTTGTTTCATAACTATTGTTACTACTACTAATCAACTAATTCACAACTCGATGGGACATTCTAAAACTGCCAAGAGTGAACAGCTATTTATCTTAGTCAGTCTAAACAAATGCTAATGGCTTTTCCTTAGAGGTCCAACCTTTTGATTTCTTACAGCATGAGTCCATAGTCCAGCTGAAAACTGAAATTCCCAATTAGAAAGCAAGAGGGATAAGAACTTCTTTTGAGCTAGCACAGGAGGGGGTCATTTCCCTAAGTGGCAAGTTTAACAAGGTCAGTTGCTTCACACACTGGGAAAGGAAAATAGGACTTTGTATCACTTAGCATTCAAGCTCAGCCACCCACAGCTGACAGAGGACAGGGCCCTGACAAATGAAGAGGCAAGCGTGTGGATAAAAAGAGTAATGGTATGCAAGGAAAATAATTGACTGTGAAAGGTTGATAATTAGTAATATTTAAAAAAAAACAAAAAAAAAAAGAAAAAAACAAACACACACACCACTGATTTTGACATTCCTTATCACCGTGAATCGTATCTATGGTTTTAACCACAGCTTAAAAAAAACCTGTTGGGAGTAGCAATCACAAAGCAAACTGCAAATGTCTAGTGTCAAATCTCATATGAATATGAAAGCTGTAGCCTGGCTTGCATCCCACTAGCATTTTAAGCAACCACTGCTACTGGATTCTGCCTCCCCACTTACCAGTCTCTAGCAGCCACACTGCCTTAGAAATTTCAGTCTAGGGATGAATCTGGGAATTTTCCTGGTAGTCAGAAATACCAAGGTGAACCTGAATCTTTAAAGAGGCAGCAAGCACACCAGTGAGACCCTCCCACCCCACCAAAGGCTGGAAGTTAAAGAAAAGTGAAAAAATTCCCCTGTTCTTCAGCTTATCTCCATTCAGGTCATGACAGAGGTTACCTGTCAGGTCAGGAGATTTCAGGAAGTTAAGGCTAGCAAAGTAACAAAAGAGAAGGACACACACTGCTGAAGAACGGGACAAATAGGGAGTTCCATGATGAAGGCACCATCCTAGCCTGAATATGAACTTCCACTGTCCTCAGGAGCTTGCAGGTAGGCCAAACCAGTCCTGTCTTTGCTGGTTCATTAAAAGTTGTATTCAAAAAAATAGTAGTTCCTCAGAGAACCAGAACTATGATAAACACAGTCAGTTTCTTCCTCATCAAGAACCAGACAGGAAGTCCACTCTATGAATAGGGATTTCTGAGTATTTAGCCAGGCCCTGCTATGCATTTCAAGTTTTAGATCCAGTTAGGTTTTGAATACAAGATAGAAAAACATGTCTAAAACGTTGTTTTAGCATGTTTGCTTGCAGTTATGTTGGATGATTATTGTCTTGCTTTTATATAACTGAATATCCAAATGATCGCATCGCAGCATATGGAGGAGGAAGATAATTTTATTTAGAAATAATAAAGCCACATTTAAAACAGGATGCTGTTACAAGCTGCCATACACTGAAGGATTTTTAACGTTTCATAAGCTGTGCTTTTGCCTAGTTAATAAATATTATTTTAGTTTGTTTCCTCAACTTACTTTACATCCATGTTGACTTAGGAAGTGCTTTGTCAAGTACATGACAATCCTCTGATGATGGTGTAGCAAATGCAAAAAGCCAAGCACGTCAGTGCTCTTCACAGAGATGGCACTTCTCCGGAAAAGCCCACGTGGAAGACTGGAGAACTTTTAATTCACGACCATAATATTTCATACACATTTGTAATTGCTTTACAATTAACATAAACTTCTAGGATGTGGTGCTAGATGTTGCTAATATGTGAATGAAAGTATGTACATAGGGAAAAACAAGTTAAATGAGTTGTATCCTTCAACTGACAACTAAGCACAGCTTTCACTGCCTAAAGGGTTCCACTTTTCACCCAGTGTGGTGTAAGCAAGTAATGGCTAGTCTTGAAAGACCCCTGCTGAATTTCGTTTACATTGCTCTGGGGCCAGGAGCTTATGAGACTGATGCCCTGGGTACTTCTCTGCAGGAGCAGAACAAACACACTAGCGTGATTTTTAGCATACACATTTCCACAGCTGCCACTGTTCAGGAAATCTAATTCATTTCCTTTTCTGCTGGGGTATTATAGAACATGGACACACAAGCTGTGGGTTCAACACTTCAGCACTGGAAATGCTCCTCAGCTGTCATTATGGAAGCAGTAGCTGCATTTTTACCTCTTTCCTTTACATACATGTATTGACGTTATATGATGACATGGGCAGGATGTTGTTTTCATATCTCTTCTCCAAACCATTACAGAAGTTCCAACAAGCTTTGAATCAAGCCTACAACACACACTGATTACATATGGTAAAGTCCCAATTACAGACTTGACAGTGACTGAAGGCCATCACTGCATTTCCTCAGCAGTAAAAGAATACCATTGAGAACGTGTTTTGGGAGCACAGCACCTACCACTATCAAACGGTATCAGAATAGTGAGAAAGTTTGAGTTACAGATAGAAGAAGATTCATTTTTGCCTGTTCGCTGCGATCCTCTTGCCTAGAGTAGCAAAACATTTGCAATTGTCCAAACCATATGATCTCTCCTCCCAGCCCTATCTGGCAGATTTTAGAAGGAGCCCACCCAAGCTGGTAGATGTAGATGTTTGTCTCCTCAATCACTTGGGTACTTCCAAAGATCCACTTCTCTGAACCCATTCTAGTTCTTGGCTTCTTCAGACCTAGGTTTGCTACCCCTGAAAACATGAGCAAAACTTGCCTCTGTAACACAGAGATGAGCTGCATGTTTTTTGAGATCAGTGTGGGGAGCTGAAGCTGCTGACACTACTACAAATACAAATGGTAAACAAAATAAATATGGCTAAAGGCCTGTATGTACAGAATGCTTGTTTTTTAAGGAAAAAATAGCCTTTTATTTTTTCTTTTTAATCTTAAGCACATGTAGTAGAATACATACATTGGGGTAGAGTATTTTGGGAACTGCTTTTCTTCCCAGTATGGCTAGTAAAAAAAAACTGAGTTTAAATCAAGCCTGGCAGTAATAGGGAACATCTTTCACAAAGAAGCTAAATTGTATTCTTGACTTTCAAATAAAAAGCACACCGAGCAGCAATAAAAGCTATGCTCAAATGTAATGATAAATACTTCTAAAAATTCCCTATCACCTCTAAAAGTTAATTTTAGGAAAGCAAAAGATAAAAATCACAGAGATTAGCATATTAATGTTTCCCAATCTATATTTACAAATCTCATAAATCTTTTAATGGGGAATATTAAGTAGATAAGTGATGCTAATATAACGTGAAAAATATTAAATGCTAGAGTTCACAGTCAAAATCTGGGAGTGTGCATGCAATACATTATAAGGGGCAGAACTGTGAATTTCATGGATTAAAGCATTAAGAACTTTCACTGTGACTGCCAGAAACAAGAAAAATGGGAAGTCTCACACATACAAAGCAATCAGTGTCTTTAGGTCCGGAACAGCCTCCAGCGCATTCCCGGTGGCAGCAGTCGCTGACGTAGGGCCCATAGCACCGTCCATCACACTGCTCTGCACACACTGTCTTGGTTACTAGGAGGAGAAAGGAAAAATTATCGTGTCAGCATCAGAACCAAGGAGACAGCTTTTCAGCTGCACACTGAGGAAAACAAGCAGAACAACGCCGTACTGAAAAAAAATACAAGCTTTAAGGCAATTTTTTTCAATGGCAGTAGTAACTGTTTTCCTCCATTATACCTTTACAATACCTTCTTCAAGAATGTACCGTTGCCAGAAGACTGCAAAGGAAGATTTTTTTTACAGTGTTTATTTTCACCCTTGGAACATAATGTAGAATACTATTTTCAAATGACTGGAGCTTAATAAATAGCTGATGGACAGCTATGGAGAGAAAAATAATAATAATAACAGAAGAGCTCACCAGTTCCACATGAGTTTTTCCCCATGAAAAACTGCAACACTGAGTAAAAAGCATGTAGAAATTCAATGAGGCTAGCAATCTCTGAGCCAAAAGCTGTTCTTGATGGCAATCAATTTGAACAAATTGGCAATGAGAACAGAATACAACCTTCAGACTGGAACATATTTGGAAATACCACTCATCTTTTTCTAGTAACACAATCCAGCCTTCACTCACAGGTAAACAACTATAGTCTACCAACTGGCAGGTGCAGCAATCTAAGTGGAACCACACTGCTGTACCTCAGGGCTTAGTCTTGGACAAAGAATGGTCAGCAAGTGGAGTAACTTCCTCCCCTCAGCCATCTTTATCTTCAGTTTTTATTTTACAGGAAAGGGAATGAAAAGTTTCTGCAGGACTATACCAACCTAAAGAAGGTTGAGGAAGCTGTGCTGTCAGCTCTTTTGATAAGGAGCAAGGAAGTTACACTTCTGTAATTAAACTTAACCAATTATTTTGTTAAAAGCATTTCACTAGTTCTCTATGGAAAACACTTTTCAAGAGGCCAAAGAACACAAAATTTCGTCCAACTTCTTGCTCCATTCTAACGTGATGCATCGGTGATTCCTTTTTATTAATGCTTCCAAACTGAATTCCCTCCACCACTTGCTGGAAGTACTTAAGGTACCACCAAAGCTTCTTAATATACACAGTATTTATTTAGGAGATTAAAAATGTAAATAACGGAAGAGAAGTCATCATTTATAGTCTACAGAATAAAGTAATGCACTTTAAGAGTAATTCCAACTTGCTGATACCAGAGACTGCACTAGAAGACACTTCTATGCCTCACATAGTAAGATTTTAAAAGTAAGGGAATTTTTTGTAAATGCACTGACTGCCAACATTACTAAAGAAACAGATTGAAGGCTTTTACTTAATAACTGTACTGATACAATGTTAGGACTGATATGAAACAGTATCATAAGGTAACCAGGACAGACACAGACTCTCCTCATGAAAACTAAGGACTCAGTAAGTCAGCGTCTGCACATTGTTCAGACAGTTAGTTCAGAACCTGGTCTATTGCATTTGGGTTTAGACTGGATTAGGCTCTATTTGTCTTAACTTCGAAGGGAGGTGAAGCCTCCTGACTTAACACAGAGCCGTGTTTGCTAGAGCCTGTTTGGGTCCCAGGGTCCCCCCAGTTGGAAAGGAGAGGACATCGTGGCACGGCACGGCTGCTTTCCTCACTGCTGCTCCACTGCAATTTAATGTTTTGTTTAAATCTGGAAAGTTTTGGTGTATGGTACCTCTGTGTAAAAAATTATTTTGAATACCTAATTAGCTCAGTTATAATTTCTTCCCCTGAGTGCAGCTGCTGTTGGGATGCCCACCAGGACTCCGCAGCCATTGCTTCCCTGAGCAGACAGCCTCTGGGCTGGCTTCTCCAAGGGCTGCTGCAAGTGCCACCCTGTCAGCTACAGATAGTGCCAGGAATCTGCAGCATCACCCCAAAACAGGCAGGGAGGAGGTGAATCCCCACCTTGGCCATGCCAGGTGTCCTGTTACCATGCCATGCAGTGTATCTAGACTACTCGTCAGCTCACTGGCTCCTACATTGAGCAAGCCCAGATCTGCATTTTAAAGGATTTCACGATTCCATCAAGCTGTGCCACAGGTCCCAGCGCTTCCCAAGGCTGCGTAGTTTAAACAGCAGTAGGAAGTGATCTCCAGTAACAGCAATAGATTTAAGCAATTTACTGGCACCTTTTCAGCAGTTTTTAACCTACTAGTCTAGGCTCACCTAAACTATTCACCCTCTTCGAGAGCCCCCCGTAAGTCTTCTGTCATGTGTAAATTTCCAGATACTGTTTTATTTATTTATTTATTTATTTATTTACAGTCCTTAGCATTTTAAGAGACTACAATTTATTCCAGAACATGTTTCCTTCTAAAAAGAAGAGGAGGAGCACAAAGACTGATGTGGTGGAGCACAGCCCCTTTCCAGCACAGGACAGGAGCAGAGTGCCCTCAGCCCCTTTCCAGCACAGGACAGGAGCAGAGTGCCCTCATGAACTCTGCTCCTCTGCGTGTGAGCAGGCACTGGTTTAACGCAGCCTCTAGCAAGCTGTTCAGGATAGGGCATGTTTTGAGTTTTCCTTAACACTGCAAAGATATAAAGTGGTTTGCAAAATATATAGTTGTGAAGGCTTGTTGCTGCTTCTCCCTAATTGTTTATTTCATGTTTATTTGACTGGGAAAGCAAACAGTGCCAACAGAACTGCCAACATTTCATTACAGGAAAAGGCCACAGCACACCTTATTTATCTTTTGGAGAAGGAGCCATAGGGCATCTTCAGTGGCAACATACAAAGACAGAAAAAAAACACAACCTTAGCTCTGAATTTTTTGAAGGACTCACTCAAGACAGTTCACAGCAAAGGGTGTTCCCCAAAATAAAACAACTACAAGGCAATACTATGTCATAATAATAATAATAATCTGATTGTTCAGTGTAACCCTGCAGAAAATGAACTTTGCTGCACACATTTAAAACAATGGCAACCTTTCCCCAAAAACTGCCTCCAAACACAGACAATTTACTGTAGAGCTGCAGCTCAAGACCTATCATGACAAAATGTGCCATGCATTGGGGCTGGTTTCTGAAGAGAAGAACAGAATGCTGACTGCCAATCTTCACCGGTGTTTCACTACAGTAGCAAAAAGTTGTGCTGGGCATGGGGTGGAATGGACACTTCAAGTGTGTGTGTTCAATTAATCAGTCTCTCTTATTGTTTCCCTTCATCTTTAATTATGTCAGGGCACTATAAATCTATGAAGGAAAAAATGGAAAGTAACTGAAATCAATGAAAAACTCTTATGAACATGCAAAGTTATTAGTGAAATACAAGGATTTTAATTAAAGATGCTGGCTCCAAGCAAAAATGCTGGGTTACCCTGATTGATCTAAGCTGCTGGTTCAGCTCTTTCCATCTCCCCCACCAGGCTCCCGCTTGCCTTTTGCTGCTCTAATTGGGTAATTCCTGCCTCGGCACCTTCTTTTTCTCAGCAACATCAGCTGCAGAAAGACTGTATAAATACAGTAATGCTCAGGCCAATCTCCTGTACATGTACACAGTCACACGGTGTTTTACGTTTGCTGAATGCTTAGGTTTGGGGCCTGATTTAAAGGTTATTTCCCTTTTTTTGCCTCCCTGTAGTTTTAATTTAAATTGCTCTCTTTCAGTTTCATTCCTCTAGGACAAAGTGCATAATCTGTCATTTTAATAAAATAATGCAGTCAATTTATAAAGCTTTCAATTTCTTTTCATATGAAAAAGAAAAAAACCCTTATCAGAGACATCAACAGCAAAAGCAGTAACAGTCTAACCACAGATTTTCAAATTTGACTAGTAACTTCCAAAAGCTTTTGTTCTTGTGCTTATTATTAAAAGTGGTTTACATAGTGGGTGTGCCCAATACTCTGAAAAACATTCTTTTTAAGAGCTATTCCACGTTAGCCTTTCCTGACACTAAAACAAAGAACACTCTCTAGCTTTTGTTTCATATTAATATTTACTAATATTTTAACTGTAAAAGAAAAATGGGTTGTTAGCTGCATAATACAGTATCCTGAAATTATCTCTGTTCTAAATCCTAATGGAACAGCTTATTTAAATTTTCCCATTAATTGCCTTCCTAAATGCATAAATTTTCTTGTCACATTTAGAGAGATGTTAGGATAGAGTTAGATGCAGGTGGTGTTTCAGACAGAGTTATACATACAGAGAGACATAGCTGGAAGGCAACATAAGAAGACAGGTAGATAATACTCATGCAAAAACAAAACGATCTCTGTTTTTTTTCCATATGTAATTTGAAATGAAAGACACGGATTAAGATCTTTCATTTTTTATCCCTTTCCTAGGAAAATAATTTAAATCTTATCTTGGGAGGGGGGCTCATCAGAATTTTTTGCTTCAGTGACTGGATAAAAAAATGAAATTATTAAATACAGACATGCTTATGTTCCTTCTGGTTCTACGAACAAAACTTTTTGATGCTGGGAAGTAATAAGGCCAAAGTCTTTTCCTGCAGGTGTTTGAAGGCTGCCCATCCTCAAGGTGAATAGGTGAAGGTATAGGCTGTTTGCAATACTGTTCTTCCTGTCTCCAGCTTGTGTCTAAAAATCACATTAATTAGACTGAAAGCCAGGGCAGAACAAGTCAGAAATGAAGGCAGCAAAAGTTTAACACCACTTGGATTTTTATGTTTTGATTTCCTACTCATATTCTAATTCTTTGCTTTAATGTTTTTTAGAAAAACAAGTTTTGTGGAAATGTGATGAAGAAATGCTCATTGCTAGCCCAATATTCACTCTTTTTATTAAATCCTGCTCTTTACCCAAGGCAGCACAAGGTCAGGTAGGCAAAAGGAAAGCACACAACCTAAAATTAACTCCTGTCCCTGACAATTGCTGCGGGAACTATACTGACAGTGTGTTTCAAGGTAAAAGGCTGTAAGTAGCTATTTCAAATTAGGAATGTGTGATCCGTGCATCTCCCTGGAACTTAGATAACATATGTCTTTGATAGTTTATTAATCCGTGGTCATGCCTTAGCCTGTCCCCACTGTTTGGATATGAGAGGGCAGTCACTGTGAAGAAAGTGAGAGCTGTCACTCTGGGAGCAAAGCTACTGTGCAGCTCTGCTAAGCTTCTGACTTTGCAACACTGCAGATAAGTTTTGCTCTCTCTGGTATTATTACATTAATCCACCAAATCAGTTTGGTTATCTGAGAGCAGCGCTCTGGGGAGGTTGAGGCCATGTGAGCTGATCCTGCCACGTGGGCTTCTGCAGCCACGCGGAGTCCAGCTGGGCTGTCCAACACTGCATACGGCTGGAGCCTCAGCCTGCACGAACCAAGGCTTGAGCCAGGATCAGATCATCCTTATCCAGCAGAATCGCCAAGGTTTTGCACTATTCCCTAGTGAGATAACCACATAAGGCCCAAATAAGTCTGTCCAACTTGGGAAGAATTACTCAGGTCCTTACAGAGATGGACAAACAGACCTAAGAACCATCATTAATTAATTCTAATCTGGCCATGATATAAAATAATTCCAGCCAACTAGATTTCCGTCCCTTTCCTCTATGTGCTTCAGTACATAACCTTGCTGTAAGGAGGTTTTCTCACCACTGAATTCTTTGCAGCATTCATAGACTGCTAGAAAGAAAGGAGAGGTACTAGCTCAATTCAGACAAACAAGAATACACTTCATTATACAGTTATTCCTGCAACCTGTCCTGAAGCACTTTTAATCACACCCGCAGATAAAGTTCAATATGAAAGAGCAATATAAGAACATGTTAGCTTTAGCAGAGCTATAATTGTCATCAGCTTTGCCAGCAACATCAGCTGATGTACCTGAATGCAAAGGAGCGCAGGGGGGCAGAGCCTCAGCAAGCACCGCAGCTCTGTCACCCGCACCCTGTGCTTTGTCACGGGCAGGAGGTCAGATTGGATTTCCTCATCGTGGTAAACCCTAAAATGTTTATGTCAAGCTCTCTGCTGTTTCTGGTTTCCCACAATTTCTTCCTCTGAATAGTGGGGGAAAAAGGCATTGTTGCTCTGTTTCCAATATTTCCAATGAAAAAGATGGCTAACGTTGGGCTATCATAAGTTCAGAGAGTTAGCTGGTACATCTGCTTGGTATCAGTTAAATCCCAGCTACAACACAGCCAAGAAAATGAGCACAAGCCAGAGCAGTGCTAACTCAGGGGTGTGAAGGTCTCAGCAACCATTTCATTTCCTGGGGGGAGAGACTCCAGTAAACCCAACCAATTTTCACCATCCTGAATTTCAAAGAAGGAAAATGTAAAGGATAGCTCTAATGCTGCAAGAGGAAAAAGGAAGAAACACGTAGGAAAAGACAGCTCTCAATTTTCTCCTCTTTTCTATTTGCTAATATTGTAACTGCACTTCTAACTCCTTAGTGCCTGTCTGGAGGAGCTGAAAGCACACAAAGAATCTCAATATAGTTCTTTTTCTTATTCATTTTAATGCTGTCTAAATTCAAGAGGACAGACAGACATTGTGAACAACCCTTCACTTGCTACTTCCTTCACAAAAAATCATTATTCTCTTTCAGTATAACTCAACTACGTTCTGAGTTATTATAAAGAGAACAATTCTGCAAGATAATTAATACTCCCAGGCTCCCACTGAAATAAACAGAGTACTCTGGCATTAGGAACTTTGCAGCATCAGGCCATCATTAAACATCTCCAAATCCGCCTTGTAGACTTTTCTATTCCTGCAGTATTCATTTCAGTGTATTCCAAAATAACCATCAATATTCTCAGGAGCCATGCTCCATGTTGCCGCCACGAAGTGAAAAGAAAATTCAAGTTAGCTTAAGCATTTTTAGAAAGCACAAGGGAGGAAAGAAAAACATAAATTCACATGGGGGGAAAAAAACAAGATCATCAGTTGGCAAAAATATACAGAAAAAACCTTGAAATGTTTCAGAACTGCACTAAAAAGAAAATGTATAGTATCTCTTCACAATAATAGTAATAAAAAAAAGTAGGATCCCTGTTACATCATTTTTCAGTCCTTTGTTTCTCAGGGTCTTGCATACTTACAGGTCTGGCAGTGATTTTCTGTGGGTCCCCAGCATCGGCCTGTGCAGGATTTGTGGCATCGACCACCTTTGGGAACGAAAGAAAACAGGGAGATTAGAAATGTGGCTTCCTTTCATTTCTTTACCCTTCGACAACCACTGAAGAGAAGGGTCCATCTTGCCTTTGGAGAGCTTCTATGCTTTACTAAGTTTGAAACCATGCCTGTAAAAAAGTCCAGATATATAGCCAGAATGGGTAGCAAACGTATGGGTACTTATCTAAGTGCTTTATACCCTAAATCCCTGTGTGCTACAAATAATGGCTGGCACATTGTAAAACCAAAAAAGATGAAGTGTGGAGGAGCAAGGAACAATTTCACCGCCCAGTGCTGTTGCTCTGTACATTCTCCATAAGACCCGCTCATTCCTCCCATAGGATGAGAAAAGGCTGAGCAAATATCCATCTCATCTTGTGTTCAATTTCACCTGAACAATGGGGCAATAAACTCAGTGCCTTGGCAGGAAAGTGATCCAAAACCCATCCTTCCCCCTAAAAGACTGTGCAGTCTTCATGTCCAAAATCACCGTGAAGGAAATTTGCTCTGTGCAGCCACCTCTCCACAGTGACAGCTAAACTCACAGGACCTTGACTTTTCTGACTGCAGAGTCTCTAGCTGCCTGTGGTTGTGGTTCTGCTTCTGAAGGAGCCTCGTGGAGGAGATGCTCTGCATCGTCCTTCCACGTGCTGACAGGCTTAGTCCCTCAAGACAAAAGGAAACTGAAAGTGCCTGCATTGCAAATACATATGGGGGAGGAAGAGTTAGCAACAGTGCCTTTTCTAAACTTTTACAAACTACCTGGTAATCTTGCACTGAGGAGGGAGAGGAATTCACACCTTCCATTTCATGGCTAACCACTAACCACTGTGCAAGGAAGTGAAAGCGGTGGAAGGACTGGCACATACTCTCACTGCATCTTTTGTTACCTGAGAAAACACCCAGCCAGTCCCACGCCAGTTCTGACGGTGAGCGAAGGAGATCTCATCCTGCAATTCCATGGCCAGAGCTCAGCCATGCTCCTTCCTCCCTCCTGAAGTGCAGGAGCCTTACAGCACCGCATGTCCCAACGGCTATAACATGGGTGCTGCTGGAGCAAAGCCCCTTACAGGGAACCAGACCTGAAGTGATGAACTGAGAAAGCTAACACAAGCATTGGGTACGACGCCACACAGCCCTTCCTGAAGCTCTTCTGACCTCAGTAACCTGACCTCGCCTCGGATTAAACTTTTATTCATCACTGAATACTGCTGAGAACCTATTAAGTGAATTTCCACTTTGGACCTGATCCAGAAGCTTACTGAAGTCACCAGGAACCTTTCAATCCTGTACTAGCAGCAGTAGCTGTTAATGCTGCTCTGCTGCACCCTGCACTAAACCACATACTGCCCACAAGCTCCCACTTGGGAAACAAGGTTGGAGAAAAACACAAAAGCAAAGGTTGGATCACCCCAGAAGATGAGTGTACCTACCAGATGTTACACAGTTAAACAGAACCACAGTTAGAGTAGTGTAAAGTCAGACTTTGTGTCGCTACTTCTGTAAAGCCAGTGCTCTCCTCTCGGGTCTCACGCAGCACTGAAGGTGCTATTGATTATGTTGTGCAGTAATTACGTGCTGTGTGCCAACTACCTTGTTAAAACCACCGGCTCCTCACTGTACTTGTGTTCGTTTAAAGCAATTATACTGGGGGAGCACTGGTGCTGACATCACCAGCACATAATTTGCTGTCACATGCTGCCATCTGTTTATTTAGTTCACAGATACACTATAACTACTTAATGCAAACTCATTCTGGCTGACAGAGAGGGGACTCCATCTGGCATGAATAATGCAACTTTAATCAGTAATAACGATTATTATGATTATTAAGAGGCTACTGGAGCTCCGCGCAGAAAGCTAACACATCCGTATTGATTTATAAGAATGGAAGTTTAAAAAAAAAAACAACAGGTGAGGTAAACAACAAATTCAAGGAAGAACTTCCACAGAAGAGAGCCTTGAAATTACACAGTTTGCTTGCTGGCTTTTGGTGCTCACTTTGCTGAATAAAAATGATGCCCAGGAACTGGGTTGTTATAAGCCCTGACCAACCGAACAAGTGGGAAGGAGAAAGAGCATGGCAGGGAGTGAACATTTCTGTACCTGCCGCAGCATGGCCCTCACCAGAGCATCATGGCTGGGGGAAGGTAGGGAGGAACCACAACCCAAGGACAGCAGAGCTGCCACCTCCTGCAAGGCTCCATTTTATGCCTGACCCTAACTTACGGTCAAATCTGACATCTGTCCTGCTCAAGGGGGCTGGGATTCAGGGAGAAAGCTCCAAGGCTGGCAGACGGACACAGGGAAAAGCATTGCACAGACCACTCGCAGCCACGTATTCCTGAAGCAGAAGAAGGCACCAGTTCAGGTCTTTCTGCCCCAGACTTCTGCCCTCTTCCAAAATTTACTGCAGGCACTGGGCTTTCCTTTGCAGTTTGTGCACTGAGATAACAGAAGATACTTCAAACATCCTTCCAAGATACCTCTTACTGGAGAGGCCTCCCACACTTCTGCACAAACAACATTTAAAATGAAAGTCTTCACATTTCAAACTCCTAGATGCTGAGCTGATCCTCAGCAGGCAACCAAAATGTGCTCAGCCAACTCTACTCCTCCTGGAAATAAAAGTGATCCAGCATCTTCAATAATCATTATTTTTTTATTTAAAATCTTGCACGCCTGCTTCCTGGTACATGACTTTGTTTGTCAGTGTCAGATGATCATTTGCATTTAAATAGAGATATTTAACAAAATAGCAAGAAAAGGCTGCCAGTTTTCCTTTTTCTCATTGGGAACTCAAAGTCTGTGCTTCATTGTTTTCACTTTTCTCAGCTGCACAGACAAAACAAGGAGCCGAGCTTGTAGGCAGCACACCTCTGAATTACATTACATGTCCTTTTGAAGGTCAAATATACCGAGAATTAAAATCAAAAAACAAACTCCCTCCAAACAGTGTCTCTATATTGGTATGTTTGTTCAAAAAAGAAAAATAACTTTCTTTGCTCTCAGCAGGAACTGGTCCAGATTCTGCCCTCACATAACTCACTATTTCACCTGGCTTTCCCACCATAATAAGGACAGATTTGTTACCCATTAAAGATCAGCTCTGTAAGTCTTATCACAAAAATAGTCCCATGGAAGTCAACATAAGTAGCCAGGAGCATAAGGAACATCCATGTAAGGAACAGTTCTCATGATGAGATCTATATGCCAGGCTTAAACAATAATAAATCGATCAGCTCCGAGACTAATAAAGTCTTTACAAAAACTGTACTACTTCTCACAAATCTTTCCATATGTATTTCTTCTGATTTTTAGATTGTAGCAAGCCAACAGAGATTTGAGAAAAAGAAAATCAAACAATTCCTGGCATAAAATAGATGATTCCTTTTATTCTTTGTGTCTCTAAAATATGCCAAAACCTACTAACGTATAGAAGCAAGGTGTAGGCGAAAGAAATAATGAAGAAACGGCAAACTGCAAAGGTATTTTTCCTTTCATCTTGAGACAACAGCTAATAAAGACAGAGGATTCCTTCCTACGATTTCCACCGCTGGTCCTTGGCATCAAGATGCTGAGCAAACTGGAGTCTTAATGGCAACCAGGGGGACCTAGGAACACTCACCACTAGTAGTGGAGCAGCCCAAACCACCCAAAAGGAGTACGAGTTCACCTGTAACAATTCCTCATGCATAGTCTTACTACAATCAAATAGTGAGTCAAGAATTAACTGGAATTTGCCCAAAGGCAGACTTCTAATGGACTCTACCTTGTAAGCGCAACCTTACCCATTTGCTAAATTCTTGTACATTAGTGAAGGCACATAAGCAAAGAATTTTTTTCTTTCCTAGTGACATACGGAAAGGAAGAACCTTGCTCATTCTCCTGCCCTCTTTACAGAAGCAATGCTAGAGTACAGTTCTGCTCCTGAACAGTAGCACTGCTTGGAATACGTGATGACACTTGATTCAATAGAATGCAGAGGAGGAGGGAAGGAGTTAACAGGAGGCTTACATAATTTTTACAGACTTTGTTATGAAATCTAAACTTAGAAAGGGAAAATTTCCACTGGAACATAAGAATTAGTTTTGCTTTGGCAAATTTCATGCAGACAACCAATGGCTCATCTCCTGGGCTCATCTTCCCTTGGCCGATACTAATGTGACTTACCTTCATTGTGGAGTCCATTGCAGACTACCAGTTGTAACTTTCAGGATATTTTATTTTTTTTATTTTATTTGTGAAAGATGCCTCTACTCTCCCTGCCTCTGCTGGAGAAAGTCACCAGCAGAAAGCATTTGCTCGCTAGGCTGGGAAAGACCAAGGTTACTTTATCCTTGTGCTTTCCTAAGAATTGAGAACGGCTTTCCTTTGTCTCCAGACTGACTTTATTATTTGAGGAACAGTAAAACCGCAGAGGATTAAGTTACTGACAACACAAGAAAAATGAAGTCCTCCTCTTAACTCTTAGCTCAGTGTAGTACAGAGAACGCTGCTTCTTCCTCATCAGCTATCCCAGCTGCTTTAAGCAGACCTCTGTCAAGAGGCCTGGAAGGAAAGCATAAGTAAGACAAAAAATGGTCTCACCTTGTACAATGCTTGCATCTATGGATGGCTTCTACCAGGTTAATAAATCATTAATAGATGTTAGCATATCTGTAACACACTGATATTGGAAGTGTGAATAAACAGGCCAAAAAAATAAAATAAAATAAAATAAATTGGTTTTCACGGTTACATGCCATGGTTATAAGCCATGGTTATAAGCAGGCTCTTTACTCATCCAGCAGTCTAAAATAATTAACTATCAAAACATCTATAAATCATTTATTAGCTTCTGTAAGCTACTTGTAGTCTCATCCTTAACCTAAAAAATCGGTTTTGCAAAAACGCTAGAGACATCCCACAGATGCGTCTGGACATAACTCCCTCTAAGATGCACGAAGTTCCAGGTACACTCTGCAGTAAGACCCAGTCTCCTTTCTCCATT